GTACCCTCAAAAAAAGGAAGAAAGGAATAAAATTGTTGCCTTACCCATGTCTCCAATTCATGTACTAGGAGAAATTTAATAGTATGAGAGAGCTTATCTTTTTAAATTCCAAAATGATAATGAAAATGGAAAAAAAAATCACTAGATATATAGATATATGAACTTGCCTGACAATATGAGCTGGCCTACCAAAAGTGTCAAACTTTTCGGCGTAACGTTGTTGGGATTGGAAAATGAATCCGTCGTTGTGTCTTTAAATTTTAAACTATTTTTTTAAAAATATTATATTACATAGAGATATATAGATAGCTATAGTACATAGAACTCAAAAACAATACATTACATAGTAGTTGTGAGGCTTAAACCGGCCGTGACGGTGACATAATTAAAGCCTAAGTTTGGCGGACCCTGCAAAGCTAAGGCAGCATATATATCTTCAAACTAATTAAGGATTCTCATCCGAAGTTGTCACCCTCTTAATTATTCCTCATTCTCACCTTTGCATAAGAACCACCATTGTGATACACCTATCCTTTGAATTTATTTTAAAAAATATATAATTTAAAATTTTATTTTTGTTTATTTTTCTTTTATTTTGATTTTTTTCTTCTTAAACAGACAGGATTGATACTTTAGAATATTGTTTATGGTCCTATAGTCAAGCATGCCGGCCAATAACCTCTCTTATATTTCTTTTCCCTAATTTCAGACTTCATCTTGGTTAATTTATTGTATATGACATGATGAGATAGTTTATTACTCACCGTCTGTGTATGTTACGGGAACAGATTTGTCTTGACCAATTGGCATTTGACATGTAATATACTGTAGAAATTTGTAAAAGTATGCACATGGCTGTATTTGAAGATATATATAGAACTAATTAAAGGAGTGACAAAGTTTTGGAATCTAGAAATATTTTAATATGGTGTGTGTCTGCAAGGTTATTATTACATGGTCTTGGGATGTTACATTAGGGTGTCAGTGTTATATATATATATATCCAACATGTGTGTGTTTAACCAAAAGCACTAAAGTAAACTTTTATTTTAAAAATAAGAAACTTTCTAGCTAATGCATTCAAAGTTGCTTGAAGCAGTTAAATTTGAATCCAAGAAATGAAAGAGTTAATAACTAAGAACACCATTTTTTTTTCCTAACCTATAAACATACACCACGTAAGACTTTTATACTATGAAGACATTCTACCTAGTATGACAACTAGTCCATTTACCCTTGTGTAGGGATCTTATTATTTTTACATGAAGAAGCTTGAAATTGACTCAAGTAAGAATAATGCGTTTGAGAATAGAGGTTGATACTTTTTTGGGGGGGCTTTTCTTTAGTTAGATACACAAGATATATCTTCTTATTGTAACCAATGGACTATTTCCATTAATAATATCATCAATATATCATTGATTGATGATCATTTTGAAATTAGCATGTCAATTCTCCAATCATCTGTCTCCAACACTAGAGTCGATGAACAAAAAAATAGGGTCATTTTCAGAAAAATGGATCATGACTTGACTTTAGTATGGTCTCTTTTGTTGCTGAAGATATCACATAATTTGGTATTGCGCTCTGTCATGTGTTCATTGCTAGTCATTCTTCAATGCTTACTCATTTTCCACTTGAAGGTGGGTATGGTATCTCTCACTTTTTTCTCTAAAATCCCATTTAGCTTCTTGACCAACTTGAACTATATATCTCACTGATTTTAGTAGCTCAACCCATTTTGGAGACTTCATCTAAACAAATGATTTTTTTATTAATTTTTTCCCTCTCTCTCTAATTACCACTGAAAAGATTCATTTATTTATTTATTTCCTAATCACCATAAACTCTATTTCACCAGCTGGTGAGCCCCTCAAAAATTATGTGAATAATAAAAATTTTGGAGAAGATGATATATCCTTTTCTTTCTGTGCATTGATATTTAATAATTTACCATGCTGACAATTCAATGAGTTATGATAATGCATTTGATTGCAATGATAGCTAGTACTGTACGTTTCTTCCTTGGCACTTAAGCTGGTAATAAATTCATAATTTTGCATAACAGAAGGAGTTTAAAAATGGATTCTACGGTCCTAATAATGATTATCCATTAAAGAGTAATAAATCAATTCATAAAAAGCAGTGACTTTGTCTTATTGGCATTTTTGGTCCCCCCATCACCTCTTTTCTGCGGTCTTTCTCTTTTCCAATGTAAATAATATAAATCAGAATTTGATTCCCCTTTTCTTTTTTGCTTTTCAAGATTTTAAAGCGTGGAAAGAAAAATCTAAACCACTAACTCAAGTGGACAGTGGATATGAAATTACATATTACCAATCAGCAGCTTTGGAGAATGAAAGTTATGGAATCCCACAAGTGCTCCCTCCTGCACTTTGTTTTGGGAACCGAACTGATTCACATAGGCCATCAAGGTACAAAATACTGATTAAAATTAAATTAATGCCATTATCATAACATATTAATCAGTGACTGGATGAAGATATTTTGGATTAAACTTATAAATATATATACTGAAATAATTGACCTTTGATACTTTAACAAGTGTCATAGAGCACCACCTTGGGAGTGCAAGATACTTTTAAAAATTGAATAATAGAACAATCTAACATGAGAGGATCGCATTATAAGGAAATATATATATATATATATATATATAAACAAGTTATAATAGGATCTATCATAAATTTTGTTAAAAAAATTAACTTTAATTTTTAGGGCTGATTTGAAATAAGTAAGTGACAAAAGTTTATTAAAAATTTATTTACTATATAAAAATATAATATTATAATAAATATTTTTTTTTTAGAAAAAGATTTTAACTCTTAATATTTAAAATAAAATTTAAGAGATAATATTAAAAAAATGTAAATTTTAAGTAAAATTGATTGATTTTACTCTCTTTTTTTGCATGATCCTCTCACATTAACTAGTAAGGAAAATCCCTATCCAATACAACCCCACTGGCTATAATGTCATTACATGATTGGTGCATGCTTCTCCTTCAATGTGGACTGCAGTCAGCTTTTATCTAAATCCAATATGGTCTGGAAGAGAATACAACCAAGCTAATTGCACTTCTTTTGGAAAAGATTGTATGATATGTTTGAAGTATTAAGATTAAAGTGGTGATTTGAGTTTGTTTCATTCTTGAGGATTTTTTTTTTCTGTTCATATATACATCAATATGGAGGGAATTATGTGATTTCTATCAAATGTCTCGTCCATCTTATCTTTGAGAATATTAGAAGTTAAGATTTCATATATAGATATATACACCTTTAAGACTAAAGATAGAACATTAAGAGTAATAATTTTTTTATTAAAAAATAAATTATTTATGATTTAGGGAATATGAAACTGTAATAAATATTATAATTTTAAATTAAAATTACTATTTTAAACTCAATCTTAAAGACTGAATTTAAGAAAATTAAATTTAGACCACATTTAGTATCCAATATATAACAATTCAATAAAATATAAAGTATGCTTTAATATTCTTATGATCCAGTCTTAATTCTGCAGGCGTGTGCTAGTAACGTAATATGGAGCACTATATATGTATGACATTTTCTCATCATATCTAGCTCACTCGTTTTGAATTTTCATTCAATAAAATCATTTTTAATAAAAAAAAAAACAATTGACTATTATTCCCTCTATAAAATTCAATAATAAAAGTTTGGCCCTAGCTACCTTAAACTAATTTAATGTATTTCTGCCACGTTTAAATATGGCAACTTTTGAATTGTATATATTCATTAAAGAAATCTATAAAATTCAAACACTTAATTAAGTTGGAAGTTTATATATTCAACAATAATTGGTTGGAATGGAATTAAAGTAACCTGAAATACACTTTATCCTATTCAAAGATTAAAAAAGATCAAAAGTTTATAAATGAAAAGTGACACAGTAAAACTCATGCTGTTACAGGATCAGCCATTAAAGTAGAATATTTACACAATATTCAAAGAAAGAAGATTAAAGAGATCGCCAGTTACATGCAATCACACCAAAAATTGTCTCTAAACTGTGTCAACTCTTGTGATTTGCTATATAAACTGAGATAAGATCTGTCTAATTGCTGTCTTGGAGGCCGATAGACAATCAAAAGCAAAACTTTGATTCTCTTCTTGCTTGAGGAATTTGCTTAGAACAAGCATTTTTCTCTTACTTGATGATGTATATGTGACTTCTAGCATAGCCCAAGTATTACTATGTATAGAATTAGACTGCTAACAACCATTTACAATAAAATAAAGATGTGGGAGGGGGTAGCAAAAAATATTAAATTATGTTTATAATGTATATAAATTGTATTCTTAAGGTGATAAATACTTTATTACATGATATTTAGTTTACATTTTTGTATAATATATAAAGACATTGAGTTTAAATGTATAAAATATTAATTTATTATTAAAAATAACATTTCTTACACTTTTGTATTTTCAAGTTGATAAAAAAATTTTAATATTTTGATAAAAAAATAATTTTTTTAATGTGTCTAAAGGTGCAAAGTAAGGCATATTAAATACTTCAAATTATTTTAAAATATTGTTATTTTAAATAAAAAGTTAAAAGAATTTAACTTTTTAATATATATTCATAGTTTGAACATATTTCATAGAAATAAGGTGATCTTCTTAATTTCTCTCTCCTTGTGATTTGATTGGTCTGAGGTGGGAGGTTGCAAACTTCACTTGTAAAATTGGTTACATAGGCGTGTGAAGGAGAGTTAGCTGACACATGATTTGTACGTGAAATGCACGCTCTGTTTGAAAGTAAGGAAAGCAACATAATAATAATCTAAGAATGAATGAATGAATGAAAGGGTGTTGTGATGAAACATGTTTGTATCGTTCATCACCAATCCCATCACGTATGCAAATGCAATAGTCTCTTCAGTTAGGTTCTGAAGTCAATGCCACAAATATTTTTAACGCCATAATCATAACTTTGCCAGTGCTGTGGTGTGGTGTGGTACTGATGCCTATACCAAAAATTCCCAAATTCCACCAATTCCCTTCGTTTCTGTCTTTATAAATCCCAAGACCGTTTAGGCCATTTTCTCCCTCTCTAGCCATTCCCAAGCCCCACCAATAAACAACATAGCAATTTCAGTTTTCAAGAGAGATATTTTTTATATTAAACCCATAAATTAAAAATAAAAGTTTGAATAGTATGAGAAAAAGAAACCAAAAAAATAGTATATAGTGTGGAAACAAAAGGGGCACAGCACAACAAAACAAAAACACAAGCACAATAACCATCCCTCTTTCTTTCCTCAAGCCTTGTTTTTCACTCTTCCTTATTTCTTCTCCAATCTCCACCCAAACCACCCCTAACCCTTTTTTCCTCTCTGAATTTGGAGTCAGAAATTTTTTGGTTTTGGTGCAAAGGGGAGAGAGAGACAGAGAGAAGAGAGAGAGAGAGAAACCTCTCCACTCCACCCATCAATGGAAATCAGCTCAAGACTTCAAGAGAGAGAGAACCCATCTCCCATGAACTCTCCAACAAGCAATGTGAGCAACTGCATGAGTAGCAGCAACAGCAATGGCATCCAAATCACAACACCACCTCTCACTCCCAAAACCATTCCCAGATCTGATTCCAACCCCTACCCTACAACTTTTGTGCAAGCTGACACCTCCACTTTCAAGCAAGTAGTTCAAATGCTAACAGGTTCATCAGAAACCACAAAACAAGCACCCTCACAAGATCCAGTGCCACCACAACCATCAAGAAACTTCAACATCCCTCCCATCAAGACACCACCAAAGAAACAAGGCTTCAAGCTCTATGAGAGGAGGAACAGCCTCAAGAACAGCCTCATGCTTAACACCTTGATGCCCAATTTTGCTCAGAATTCTGCTGCTGGATTCTCACCCCGCAAGCCTGAGATCCTCTCACCAAGCTTGCTTGATTTCCCTTCCCTTGCTCTTAGCCCTGTCACACCATTGAATGATGACCCTTTTGACAAGACCTCACCTTCATTGGGAAACTCATCAGAAGAGGAAAAAGCCATAGCCGAAAAGGGGTTCTATTTGCATCCCTCTCCCATGACAACTCCAAGAGACTCAGAACCTCAACTCTTGCCTTTGTTTCCTGTCACTTCACCTAGAGTTTCAGAATCACCTTCTTGAGGAGGTGATAGGAGATAAGAGATAAGAGAAAAGAGAAGAGAGTGTGTACAAGGCTATAACTTGTGTTGTGGATGATTTAGATAGAGAGAATGATTACATGGTTTTGATTTCAATGGTTACTTTCCTCCATCAACAAGGTACAGAGCTTGGTCTAATTGTAAAAGTGGCTTTATTACCATGAAATGGCAAGGCCTTCTTTCTTTATTCTCCTGCTTTGTCTTCCGACCTCGAAAATTTGGTATTTTTTTTGCTTTCCATAAATGAAAGAAGAAAAAAAAGGTGTCTTTGTCCGATGAATTTGATTTTTATTTTATTTTTCTCTTCATATTCCATGAGTTGTTCTTCAAGGAATTTTTCTTTTAGAAAATCACATCTTGGGTATAATCTTGAACCATCGTAGTGTGTCTTTAATTGATCATGATGAATTCAACCAATAAGGGTCTTCTTCACAGTGTTTGTGTGTGATAACTGTTTCACACCAACCACCCGTGAAGTTGTGTTCAGATGAACAGAATCCAAAGAAGGAAAAAGGAGAAGACAAGGAAATGAGGATGCTTGGAAGGGACACATTTTGCTGGAAATCAGTGTTCGAAAGGACACAACCGTATCCTATGTTGTCATCATCGCAGAAAGCTGCACTAACAGGAAGGTGGGTGGGTTAACTTAATGAAGGGTGAGACTTGAGAGGGTCCCTCTTCTTGGTTATGCTAATTTGGTCTAATCAAATTCTCAAGTACCTCAATACCCAGATTATGATAATGCGTTTTTGTTGGTTTTTCTTTTTCTTTTCTTTTCCTGAATATTGGAAGAAAACTATTTGTGTTGGTTTTCAAGTTTCCTTCTTGATCAAGAAGTTAAGCAAGGACTTTACTCTCTTTGCATCGTATATAAATGCACAACATTTATGCACAATGTCAGTAGTAGTACCCTACTTGTACTTCTTACAACAATCTAGACATAGGACCTATGTGGGTGTTGGTGCTGATAATAAAAATTGTGTTTTGTATAGGACCTATATGGGTGTTGATCATAAAATTGTTTGGATAAATTGTGCTTCTGAAACCATGCCACCACTCCATGAGTAAGAATTTTTTGTATGGCCCGCGTATAGTGGCTATTGTTTTCCTATGAGTTAACCCAACCTTTCACGACATTTAATTGTTTAAGTTACTATATGAGTTATATTCAGTTCTTCAGAAAATTAATGAATTTTAAACATTGTATCAGAAGTTGTATCAATTTTTTAGAAACAAAATTTTATTAATCTACTTAAGATAGAATTTTTTATAGATAAACTCTCTAAGATACACTTAAATTTCAAAGCCGCGAAAAGAAAAATCCTACGGGGTGTGGTGTAAAAAACGAAATAAGGAAAAAGATGAAAAAAAGGGGGGGGGGGTTATTATTGCTTTAATAATTTTTATTATTTATTTCACATGTACATATATTTTATTATACACCTTTATAATTTAAAATGCATTCCAAGACTGGGTCAAATTTATAAATACATGAGTTCTATTAAATTAAATAAATCAGAAAAAGCTAAAATAAATGCTCTATGGGATTATCAATATTTTATATAAAAAAAATAAAGCAGCTAAGAAGATTTCTTCTTTCTCTATTTTCCTTTTGTTTTAGTGATTTAAATGTTCTTATGTTGTAATGGGAAGCATTGGAGGGTAGACAAAATGACAAAGAGGAGATAAGATAGAGAAAGTGGGACTTTTGTTACAATCATCATGCTAAGAGAAAGTAAGGCCGAAAAGAAACCATATGTAAATAACAAAAGCAGAGAAAATGTGAAGACCACCCTTTTTCTTTTCTTCTCCTTTTTAGACTTTGTTTTGTCATTTAGGTACACCTAGGTTGGACCCAATTGCTGGTGCATTGAACAATAAACCGCCAAATTTTATTTTCTCACAGTTTTTATGCAACTTCAAACATCTTCTAGTTCCGGGTATCTGACACCACTTTTTTTTGACAAAGATAGCTTCTAATTAGGTGGTTTGTTAAAGGACCAAGTTGCTAAGACCACATGATATAGAACGAACAAAAATTTAAACTAACTTCAAGGACCCTTTTCGTTTTAGTACATGCAAGAAAATAACCCCTTTTATGTTAATTACATATGTGTATATATGAATGCTACATGAAATTAGGCATGTTATCTGACACTCTGTGTTATATGTGGAAATTGATAGCAATAGAATAACGATGGGTTTTTTTTTCTTTGACATCATCATATTCAAATGTAATGCTTGGACCGAAGAAAATTATGCTATAAGCTTATTCACTGGATTCTGTTTTTATGATAAAAAAATTAGGAGAGTTTGTGCCGTGCTAAGATTAAGATATGTCACACATTCATGGAAGAAAGCTTGATGGGTACTTATTTTGACTGGGATTTTGTTTTTGGTATAAATTGTTTATGTTGAAGTATACACCTAATCTTTATGATTTAATACTCCATAGAAATTAACCCATTAAAATTCAAATTAAACGGCAGCAGAGAAAGCCATACATGAATAACAGTATTCCATTTAAATTCCCAACACGCCACGAAGCCTGAACCAAGTTCTCTCCATATCTCTGTCATCTCGCGCGGTTAAACGTTAAAGAAAGTCGTTTTCTCATTTAACTTCATTTTTCTATTTTAATTTTAGTCTTTGATTTCTTTGTATCATTTTATTCTTTTATTATTTAAATTTGGTCCCTTTTAATCATTAATTTTCCATAAAAAATTGTGATAATTTCTTAATCCCACTAAAACTAATAACAAAAAAGATCAAATTAAGAGAATAAAAATATCAAAATATAACTAAAAACAAAGTTAGATAATCAAACTAGAATAAAAAATATAATTAAAATACTAATTTGACGTGAAATTTATATAAAAGAAGATTATCATGATAGTAACTTAAATATTTTATGTATATATATATATATAGGGATATTTGTTCATATATAATTTGACACATTTTTAGTGAATTTATTTTTAGATAACAAAATATGAAAATGCATATTTAAGTGTTGACCTTTAACTTTATTTTCTAAATAAGTAAAGTGTAAAATAAAGGTTATTTATGTGCAAATATATAACAAGTCATTTCACTATCTAACAAGTCATTTGGACTTGAGACCTACTCACTAATTAATCTTTTTGGTTACTTTAAATGTCTCGTATGGAAGTGAATATGCCTTGCAATACAAATGAAAATGAACAGGGACTATATTTGAATGATTTTGAAAATTTGAAAGATGCAAGTTAAAGAGAAACATGTAGATATTCGAGCAATATATTACATTATTTCATAAGGAGTGGACGTTACACTTTCCTTAGTTATCATTATAAATTTAATGCCATTCCAAATGACTGCAACTACTTCTCTTAGATCTCCAAGAAGGATTTGATTGTCTTGAAGCCATGATTTTCAGGGAGGGGTCCATTTCCAGGTCGAATAGAAATGATCGCCTCCAAACCTGAAATAGGACAATTGTCAAGAAAATAAATGTGAAGACAAAATAAGCAGTTTCTTATTTGGTCATACAAATGGGATCCTAGGGGAAGGCTAGAGAAATTCCTCTACCACACCAATTGGGGAAGTCACACTCACGCCATTGGCACTTGTATATGGCCTACATGAGTGCCAACTGTAGGGTGTTAAAAATCTCGTTTCTTGCCAGCAGTTTAGCCTCAAAAGACATGCAAATAAATCAATTTGCCACAGATAGACACTCTCTTGTTTACTAGAACTATAAATATTTTTACATGATGCATCATTTTAAGGGCCCATTTGGAAGAATAAATAGCTTATAACTACCATGAACTCTTTTTAATTTACTTTAATAAGATCCTTGATATAACTTGGCAAAATATAATGTTTATCTACTTATCCTAGTAAGTTTCATGGTTAAGTTATCAAATAAAAAGAATTTATTGATTAAGCGCTTAAGTTATTATCTAAACATATCCTAAATTTAGAGTCTTCACTGTGTTAAAAAATTTAGTTACTACAATCACACAACACTATAAAGTTTAGTGAATAATGCAACAAGTTTTAGAGCTAGTGGATGAAATTTTACTTAGCCGATGGATTAAGAAAAATGTTAATACCTGCTGCCTTTGCAGCTGTAGCTTCTTGATATACATCAGTGACGAATAGAATATCTGAGGGTTTATCAACACCAAGTGACTCAGAAATTTCAACGTAACTGCGTGTCTCTCTTTTGTTCCTGCAAAAGAGTTTTGCATGAATATAGGTAGGTATCTTGACAGGAAATGTCAAGAGGAAACATCAATGCAAAACATTACCCCACTGTGGTGTCAAAAAACCCAGATAAATATTTCCTTAGGTCCCCATAGTTCGTTTTTCCAAATATTAGCCTTTGTGCCAACCTGCTACCACTAGAATATATGTATACCTGTTGCATAGATGCATATGTATAGCAATTAAAATACAAGGAAATATCCTCTCCAAACACCAGATAAAGAATGCACATAAAATGTGATTGTATTTCTTTCATTCTTGGGTAACAAAATAACAGTTGCCTCACCCTCAACAAACTTTGGCCAAGAGTAGAGTTGACTGTTTTTACAATTAAAGGGGACAATGACAGATATTTTATATATTTAGGAATCTTGGATATCGAAACATAAAATGGCTAGATATAAGTCATCTGTTGGACTTTCAACAGTATCCTAAGCACAAAGAGTGGTGCAGTCAAGAAGAGGAGGGGGGTCACCCTGGCTATTAATAGAAAGTGTCCTCAAGGAAAGGAACTGTGATGTCAGTTCTTCAGGCCAATTCTTGAATGATTCAAAGTGGGAACTATCTCTTCAGGTTATGCCAGTTTAGTGGGCTCATGGAAGAGTCAAAATTTGACAGAAAGAGAAAAAAGAATGGCACTATGGTAGGATAAAGGAGATAAGGATGTAATGGATGGCTGGCATAGTTAAGCAAGGGATACAAAGGAACTCTGCTTAGTTGTGGGACAGTATCCAGTTTATTTGAGGGGAGTCCTGTCCTGCCTACACTCGGGACCACTACAGGCATGTAGACCAAACCAAAGCAAAGAGGAGAGTGGACATAGATGATTGGGATATTTATAAAAATGAAAGGAGATAAATAAAAGGATATAATGGGCAATTCGAATAAAATGGTTTGGAAAGGCATATAATGGATGTAACAGTTAAATTCTCATGGGTTTGGAAAGGCATCTCAACCTATGGTTGTCTTATACGTACCAAACATTGGCATCTTGCTTAAGCATCAAAGACGCCTAGGGTCAAAATGCAAGAAAATAATTTAGCAGCAAATGTTCACAAATATAACAAGTGAACCAAAAAGAGGGAAAGAGCTAAGAATCAGAAAAAACAACCTTTAAACCCAAGGCGTGCCATTTTTCTAGAGCTTCTGGTACATCATCAAAAACTATTCCCTCCAATTCATTATTCTCATAACCAGTTCTCCATATATGACCCTGCATGACTAAACATCAGCAATATTTACAAATATGAATTCAACAGAGAAAAATTCAGTAAGTTAACTACCTGCAACTCTTTTAAGGCAGTGATCTTTCTATCTGCTTTAATCATAGCATTCACATTAACAACAAGTGCAGCAATGACTTCCTCTTTCCCAGCATCATCTGGAGGGATAGGCACAGCACCTGCAATCCCTTGTGCAAGGTCACTTTCAACCTGTTATCAACATGAACAAGAAGTCAATGGTCCAAATCTCTGCATGCAAAAAATTTCCAGATCTAAATTAAGCGGAAGCTTATTATCATTTTGTTTGAGACACAAATTGCATTTGGCAAGAAGGTGAACCCATCCCTAGATTCCACGCTTCCCTAATATTACCATAAAGTTTACATATGAAACTCCAAGGCGCATTTCATTACTTCCATGCTTGTTTTAACAGTTTACAAATTCTTGGAAATAGGAAACCAAATGAAACAAAATGAAAACAATATTGTTCTTGCAACAATTAGTGAAAACATATTAACAGAAAATTAAAACAAAAAACAAACCAAACACACCCTTAGCTTCCTGTTTATCTCTTCTCCAGTGATGGGCCACTTTTACTTGAATTAATGCTTTAATAATGCCCAAGAAAAACATAATCAGTGAAGGGAAAATTTAATATTATAAACATGACAAACAACTTAGTCATTAGTGGTTTTAATACTCATGGACAATGTTCAGAACCATAATCTCACTCTCATCCCCAACATATCATTGCAGTAGACATAGCACTCCACAATCCACAGTACTATGCTACTACCTTTCAATGTCTAAACCACATATTCCAATTGGAGGAACATAAATACCTTAATCATGCAAACCTATAAAATTCTTACTTGGGAACGAAGCAACTTGATATCAGCTTTAGTCTCAGGGGTATCATATGTTGCAGATAGATGCCTCCCAACATTATCACGGGCATATGGGAAGAGAACCTCTGAAACAAATGATATGGGAGTAGTAGTTCCTTCAATGTCAAGAACAATGCAATGCTGTAATTCAAATAGAGAAAAAATCAACATATAATTGAAAACTATAAGACAACCACTGCAAGATATATTAAGCATCCTATTTCTATGAATCGGGGACTAGCATTATGAGTCAACTGAGGATAGACAGATAGAGGAACTTGTTTCAGGAATTTAAGGAAATAAAAATACTCATTAGTTTAGCGATCTAAACTTGTCAACAAAAAAGGAGGATTATGTGAACTCACTGGGAATGGATCAATTTCACCATTGGCTTTCCTTGCTTTAACTGATACATTTGACTGTCCGACAATACTTAGTAGACCCCTTCTTGCACTTTGTATTGGACCATGATTTGGAGTTGACCAGTCCAATCCCATTTGGTGAAGTTTGATAGCAGCATCAAAGAGGTAATGGTAACACTCAGACTGGAGGAAAAATCATGAATTTACCAAAAAGTATGGTAACAGAAACCGTCAAAAGACAAAATTGTCTTTTAGAGGAGTATTATGTTTTACAGAAACTCCAAGCAGAATGCTCAAATAAACATCTTATATAAAATTGAATGCAATCTTCTTGTGGAATACGAATAACAAAAACCTGAGTTTTAGCACTAATCCACGAGTCTCCCCAAACAAATACTCCATGGTTGCGAACAAGTACTGCTGTTGCTTTTGGGTAATCTTCAATCTGCAATTAGGGAAAGAAAGAGTAATAAGCCAAGCTATATCAACCAGGATTTTAAAGAAAATAGATGAAACTCATCCAGAGTTCTTAACATATATGCAACGCATGTGCAGAATCATCAAAAGAAACATACAGCTTTAGCAAAAGATTCTGTGAGCTGATACTCATAGGCCGTGTTCTCAATTATGGGAACTACAAGTTCATCATAATAACCATGCCCCTTGATTCCTTTTATCATTTCCATGTGAGTGATCTGCCGTTTGTGGAGACAAACAGAATCAAATGAAAATAGTATTAATGGGAAGAAGAAATAAAAGCATGGCACAAGATATACAATGTGAAAGAGAAACATAAACTACTTTTAAAGTATGTTTGATCTTCTTAGAGTACTATGTAATAAGCTATAACAAGACAAAATCACCATTTGATCAGGAAAAAATAACAGAAAAACATCAAAAGGATGCAAGGGAAGAAGAACTTTCCAATTCTAGGTATAAATTTGTACATAAATGTAGCAGAAGCCAAAAATTCTCTGAACATTTTCAGCAAATAACTAATGAGTGTATTCAAATACAATAGAGATGAACCGCAAAATACTTATCAAGTGTCAATACTTCTACTCTAGGCTAACCCAAGTTTGTTAATTATTCCACTCTTTTTCAGTGGTTCACAGTACTTATTGTTTTCAAAAACTAGAGTAGTGGAGAGAGACTTTCAAACCAAGATGAATAAAGCAACTACAGAGCTAATTATGCCCCCAAGAAGGATGTCCCATGCAAGTCCTGTATTACAGCATTATATTATTTGATACTTGAATCTGCTCTCCACTTCATTACAGACTTGTTTTTTCAGAAGATTCTTGCCTGAATGGAATTTAGCACTCCACAAATAATCTTATACCCAAGCAATGAGATTAATTTTTACTCAGCTGCATGTTCTACTACCAATCTAAACCCCATTTAAAGTTATAATGACAACTAATAATTATGGCTCACGATTTTGAATATGTACATTCATTATCAACATTCCAAAATATTGCAAAATAAAAAAACATCCAGGTACAAATACTTGCCCGAAATTCCTTTGATAAAGGATTGATCATTGTTACAAGACAAGATTCTATTCCGTGACTGTGGAAAACAGCCACAGCATCACGCATTTCATATGCCTGAAAAGAAAGTGAAAGAAATGTATGAAATGTATATCAATTGGTAATTTATCAAAAAAGATAAGCGCTGATAGTTTTGAAGGTCAGCCAACTGTAGAATTGACAAAAATGATTCCAATAAAAAATTCAGTCACACTATTCATTTGACAGATAGTAGAGATTTCCTGTTAGAAGTGAAATTTTACAGATATTATAGCATTTGTCAGATGTGACTTGTGAGTAAAGCAATTGGTTTACAGCACTTATCAACTGAATGTTACAGTTAATTCATACTACCATAAGTCCAAATGTATGACACAGCTTAACTCTGAAATTTAAGTTACACCACTCAAATATTTTGAAAGCATATTAAAAACAAATACAAAGACAACACATTGGCCGGCTGAACAATGATACATAGTGTTGTGAAATCTCAAAAGAAGTATGTGTACATCAAACTCTGCTTCTCTCAGACATTACAGTAGTTTATATAGTATTAAACCAAAGTCACCTTCCTGAAAAGTGGATCACAATCAGTACACTTGGGAGGCTTGTGCGGGTATGGTTTAGGAGATGGAGCAGACAAGACAAGCCCACTGTTTGATAACACATACATGTCCTCTGGCTCCATTCTTTCTTTCTGAACACCTGCACACATTTTTCAGCAAAAAGGAAGAACAAAATGAAGCAATAATCAACACATGATGACAGAGTTCCATCATCTTCTTGCGCAAAAAAACCATACTAAATTCTTGGTGTTCAGAAGAGCTTCTACAAAACTTATTTGAGTTTATAAAAATGGCTAATAATTCCTACAAACCCTTTTTAGCTTATTTCAATCAATTTCTTAGCAAAATTTATCAAAATAAGTTTTTCTTTTCTTTTTTTTAATGTATTTCATTAAATTCCATTATCAAGTTGTTATACAGGTTGTCATGTAACAAGAACATAAAGTATTAAGCTGTTAACCAAAGCACACCCTTAACCAGGGAGACATGTCGATTGGTTTACAGTTGAAAAATCAATTCTTACACTTTCTATTTAAAAAACACGCACTCTAATGAAAGTTCATGATTAAGATTAAATTTGACACATATCATATTTACATTCTAACAGTTTGAAATCAATTCTATCAAAGTCAATTATACTTGACTTCAAAACAAACAAGCCAAAATTTAAATCCAGTATATCAAAATTTGACTAAAAAAGTTCCAACAGGAGAGAAGAATCTGGCAGAGACCCAGAAACCAACTAGGCCCAAAATGACAAGACACACACACACACACACACACACACAAAATATAAACTTTGGACACAGAAATGAAAAGGGGGAAGAAGGGTGGGGTTACCAGAAGGGGACATGAGAATGAGTTGTTGAGGCTTGGGAATAGAATCATCATGAACCTTCATGGTGATGCTACCACCAGTGCCTGTGACCCATCCAAGGTTGTAGAAGTGCCTACACAGTTCAGCCATTAGAGCCCTTGTTTCTTTCACTGCCTTGCTTTCAAGGTACGCCTGAGAGGACGTCGTTCCCACCTTCACGCCGTTCAGACCAATCGCAGCCATGGATTCTAGACAGAAAGAATGTGTGAATGAGCTTTATACGTAAGCTATTTTATCTACATAAAACAATTACAAACATTTTGTTGTAATAAGAATGAATGAATGAATGTCTGAACCTTAGTCAACAATAGGAATACAGGATAGGATGGAACCTTTCTTTTAGAGTGTTGCAATTCAATTTGTAATTTGTAATCAGATTCATGTCCTTCATAAATAGCATGAATTAGTGCAGAATTTGTGATTGTGATTTTTGCTTTTACAATTAAAAAATGGGAAAGCGTAAAGAGTGATAGAATAATTTTACTTTTGGCTTTTAAGTCAAATGCTGCCTAAATCTGCTCAACAATAATATATAGAATTTAAATTTTAAATTTTGAGTTCAAATTAAATTTAAGATGAGTTAAACCTGTAAAAATTCTATAAAAATTTACAAAAATCGCATTTTACTTATTTTTTTAATTATTTTTGTGAGTGTAAATTTCATGTAAGATTTTTTAGTCTCACCCGCTAAAGTTTGACATCCACGGTAGTAACTAGTAAGCTAACCTAAATAGATTGGGTACTTAGTTTTGACTGTTTTATTTTTAGGTTACACAATTCAAGTAAAATTATCATAAAATTAGTATTTTAATAATATAATTAAATGTATTAATTTATATTATTAAGAAGTGAAAATTTTAATTCAAAATAATTGATTTTTTAAAGTTAACAACTAACTATTGACTTTTCAATTCGAAATATCACGACATTGATTAAGATAAAAATAGTGTTATGAATAATATAATTAACGTGATTAATATTATATAAATATTTTTCTTCTGAAACTCTATTTAATTTCATATGTTTAATTTACAAGTTTAAATATAATGAAAAGTCGATCTATTTTACAATAAATTAACAGTTAACAAAAAAAAGTGTCACGTTATTAAAAAAAATTAAATACATAAGTTTAAAGGCTCAATAATAAATATAAAAATTTTAGTGATATTTAATTAACAAAATTTTAAATATATAAATTATAATTATAATATTATAATAATAAAATATAATTTTAAAATAAATTTATTGTGTAATATTTTCAAAATATATGTAATATTAAATAATATACTTACAAGTGTCCAAATTTTATAAATTTTGTTTTACATTATCTCAAAAATAATATAATATGACTAATTGATTGATTAGTTAATTTTGGTTTTTATGAGAAATTATTAAATAGTATAATTGTTCAAATTTAATATCTAAAATAAAATTAAATAATTTATGTTTATAATTTTAAAAATTAAAGTGATGTTTAATTTAAAATTACAATAATTAATTAGAAGAAAATAATTTAGTTATTCTATTGTGTAAAAAATAAGCCTTGATTGATATATAATATGATACCTGATGATACAAGTTAACATTACACGATTCTTGCTGGTCATATAGTTGACAATGATATTTTATAAGTGAAAGCCTTTTAATTAATACAAGGGTTATGATGAATGAATTTGTGAAAATGAAGCTATTAATTTTTATATTTGACAATGATATTTTATAAGTGAAGGCCTTTTAATTAATGCAAGGGTTATGATGAATGAATTTGTGAAAATGAAGCTATTAATTTTTATAAAACATTACAGTTTTTTAATATTTATTTTAAGTATGTGAGGATTAAATATTTAACTTTTTTGTAGGTTACAACATATTTAACTTTTGAAAATTTTGCTTCATGACACGAAGTTGGGTTGAAAAAGAAAACTCTCATTCTCATATAATTTATGAAAATCACCTATAATTTTAGATAAATTATTTATTTCATAAATATGTGTTGCAAGATGAGTGTTTGAAATTACATGATCTCATAGTAAAGAAAAATTCCTCATATATTATAAGTAAATATTGGAGCGTTATTCGTCTGGTCAATTCATAAATTTGATAAATATATATATCTTTTATAATTTAATATAATATATTAATTTTCTAAGCAAATTTAGGGCATTGATTAAGATATAATTAAACTTCTTTATAAAACTAATATAATTATTATTATATAATTATATCTAAATATTATCAATTTTTACATGCTTGTAAATAATATTAAATATAATGAAAGAATTTGACATATACATGATAGGAGGCCTTAAGATAAAAATTAATGTTATATAACTCGACTTTCTCTTGGTAACACACACATATATAAAAGGCGTTAGGAATAAATTAAACGACTTTTTTCTAATATATTCTATGATCTTTTAAATTAATTTTATCTACGTAATTCATTCAATCACTTTCCATTAATCTAAAAAAACATAAATTCCACTTAATTTCTCCCTCATATTCAAATTATAGCATGTTTATTCAATTTTTTCCATGATTTTTTCTGGAAAAAAACATTGAAAAAAATAAGCACATATATCTATCAATTAATTTTAGTGCTTTTCTTTAGATTTTTCAAATTAATCTTTTTATTACAAAATCTAACGTCCTGAATATTTGTAATAATATTTTAATATATTAATATAAGTGTATATGTGAATTTTCATGTGTTTGATATATATATGATAATGAGAATATATATATATATATATGTGTGTGTGTGTGTGAGATGATGTGGACTTGTATGAATGTGTGAATACGAGTATAAGCATATGTGTTGGTTTTGTGGTTGAACTGAGATTGTTGAACATGACTAGACTGGATGGAAAATAGGCTAAGTGTGAGTGCTGCAAGGTGTTCTCACTATAGCGAGAAGGCCCTGGGCGAAGAGCATGAAACTGTGTCGTTCTTGCTGTAGCGAGAAGTCACCGAAAGAGAGAGGTGAAAATGTTGCGTTTTCACTATAGTGAGAGGGTCTTCCTGTAGCGAGATTCTGTAGAAATTAGGGTGCAATTTCTTCTGAGATTTTTGCTATCGCGACAAAGGACGTCGCTACAACGTGAGAAGTCTTGCTGCAGTGAGAATATATCGTTGTAGCGAGAGTGTCACGACCAGAGGATTATTTGAAGGTTTTACGGTTTGAAAAATTCATTTTCATTTCTCTATTCAAAATCTCTTCGATTCCCTCGACTCAATATCTCTTCTTTCATTTCTTGAGTTCTTATGGAGATTTTTTATGTTTTATGAATGAAATCCGTGTGGGGAGCCTTTTTATTATTGATTTCGTGTGTGAGTCTTCAATCCGAGGTAAGGGGAGACTTTACCTTATCTCGTTGTGTTTGAATGCAGTTTATTTTGCTATGTATTACAATGTGGTTGAGATAGAAGGTAGGAAATTGTGTGTTTGGGTTGAAATTTTGTATGAAATACGATATTGTAATTGTAGGATGATGTAATGATTTGATTGTGATGAAGTCTGATGAGGATTTAATGCTTAAGTGTGATGTGAGTGAATGTGGGCATATATGCTGTGTATGAATATGAATACTATATGTGACTGAGAATATGGCTGAAAATGTGTTTGAAGGGCATGTTAAATACGGTTGTAAATATGTTATGAATGATTCAAGGATATACTGAGATGTGGAAGATGGGGCGGAAGGCAGTGGCAGATCTAGGACCCTAAGGTTAGGGAGTGCAAATTTTTTATTTTAAAAAAATAAAAGACTAACCATATCATCATCATATAAAGATAATTGTATCAATATTAAAATTCTGATATTGATAATAGATAATAAAAGAAAAATTACATACCTTACAATTGTCCTCTGCGTGATTTCATATTTTGGAATTGTTGAATGATTAGCTCATTATCAATGCTATTGAATACATCTCTCTCAATATAAGTTATTAGACAATCATTCATCCAAGCATCTCTCATTCGATTGCGCAACCAATTTTTTACAATTTTCATAGCAGAAAAGGCCCTTTCTACCGTTGTTGTGGCTACCAGTAAAATCATTGTTAACTTCAAAAGAAGATAAACAAGTGGATAAACAATATGTTTTTCAGTTTCAACCAACTTCTCTGAAAGATTGGTAATTCCTTTCAAGGATGCAAAATCGACACTACCACGCACATCAATAATAAAAGTCTCAAGTTGATTATCAAGCATCACTAAATCACTTGAAGAAAATTTACGTGGATAAAACTTGGCAAAGTCAGTTAGTCTTCTTTTATCAAAAGCAGAGAAGCCATTAACTGGATTTAAACACGTCATACAAAGGAGCAATTGAGTATTTACCTCTGTGAAACGATCATTAAGTTCTTGAAGTTGCATGTCTACAACAATATAAAATAATTCAACTCGATAGTGATGCTCTACTGTGACAACTTGAGCTTTGCATCGTGATCTTCCCTTGTACAAAAAAGCATGTTTCATATTAGGAATATGAATGGTATGCACATTACAAAATGAAATTACTTCCTTCAATAAAGAATCAAATCCACTATCCCTCATAATCTGTAATCGTTCCTTTGTGATATTAACCAAATTCGTAGCATTGATTATGTCTTGATCTTTTCTTTGTAATGCTTGTGATAGTTTATTTGAAATATCCAAGACATTTTTCATCAAATGTAATGTGAATACAAAATCAAATTCTTCTATCAAATATAAAAGACCATTGGCTTCGGCTCTTTAATCTGCATTTGATCCATCTTCTTTTATAATTTTGAGAACATCAATGATTGAAGAATACATCAAAATCACATTTATCGAAGTTCCGTAATGTGAACCCCATCGAGTATCAGTAGCTCGTTTGACACTAGTTTCTTGATTCAAACCTTATCCACTAGGAATTTCTCCTTTTCTCAATGCCTCTCTAACTTTGGCTATTTGTTTTTCATGAAGCATGTCATGTCGTTTTCAAGATCCCGCCACAACATTTAATAAATTGGACACTAAATTAAAAAGAGAAGCAACTTGAATGTGATTTTTTGCAATGGTAACTAGTGTAAGTTGTAATTGATTAGCAAAACAATGTACATAAAATGCAGATGGATTCTCCTTCAAGACTAAACTTTTAAGACCAGAAAATTCACCTTGCATGTTACTAGCACCATCATACCTTTGTCCACAAATTCTTGACACACTAAACCTATATTTGAAAAATAATTCATCAATTGCCATTTTCAACGATAAGGCAGTAATATTCTTAACATGCACCATGCCAACAAAGCACTCAACAATACTTCCACTTTTATTAACATACTGCAAAGCAACAACCATTTGTTCTTTATTTGATATATCACGAGCTTCATCAACAATAACAACAAATAATTCTTCTCCAATATCATTAATAATAACATTTGTTGTTTCTAATGCAACAACATTAACTATATTCTTTTGGATTAATGGAACAATTAATTGATGATTTTCAGGTACATTTCCTAAGATAACATGATTTATTGATTTATTGTGATCTGTAAGAAACTTGAGAAGTTCAAGAAAATTATCTTGATTAATAGAATTGATTGATTCATCATGGCCACGAAATGCTAATCCTTGTTTTAATAGAAACTGAATGCAGTCAATTGATGCAGTCAAACGCCTTCGATATAAGTCACGAACTTGTTCAGATTGCTTAGAAATTGCAACTTCAATATGTTGATTTTGATTCATCAAATCTTGACACTTCTTCCAAGCAATGTTATGAGCACTATTAGGACCTGTAACATGAGATGAGAGTACTTCTTTCTTGTTCCAACTTATAAACCCCTTTGTGACAAATGTGTCCCCACCAGATTGCTTTCCAAAATCAGGCCTGAAAAGATAACAACCTAAACAAAATATTGCATCTTTTTCAATACTGTACTCCATCGAATTACCAAATTCATTAAACCAAGATGGAGAAAATCTTCTTAAAAAACTCCCAAATTTTCTTTGGAGAAAGTTATGTTTAGTAGGTTGGCAAGGTCCTCTTTGCAAATATGCTCTTCGAATCTTATCATGATCATTAGGATGATAGGTTGAAATTTTTATGCGCTTTCCTGGATTAGATGACAAATCTTCTAAATTGAGCTCAATTTGTTGGGGTTGAGAACTTGATTCTTTAGGGTTTGATGAAAATTGTTGCTCATTTGAAGGTAATTTTCTCTCAAAAAAAATTTTCCATGACCTATTTGAAATATGGGATTAACATAGTTTAAATGAAAAGATTTTACTAAGCAAGCATTTAAAAAAATATATAGAAGCAAGGTTTTATTGAATAGTGACAAAGGAGAGAAAGAACAATCCAACTTACCTTGCCTTGCCTTTAATTTGAAGTAGAAAATATGAAGATTGAAGAGCCATAATCTGCAACCTCTATTTCAGATGTTCAAAGCAAAGAAGAATGTTTGATTCAATGCAAAGAAGAAGTCTTGACAATTTTGTGTGAAAATTTTCACTTGTCCTCAAGCTAGGCTAGGAGGTTTACGAAAAGCTAGCAAACTTGTTGGAGAAGGAAGGTAATTTTACAAATGTATTGCAGAAGAAAAGTAAAAAAGTAAGAATAAAAAATTATTATTTTAATTGATTTGAACCTTTAGCATATTCCATCTGATTAGGGGGTGCAAAAATATAAGATTAGGAGGTGCAGAATATTATAAAAAATTATATTATTAAAAGTAATTATCAAAATTGAGAGGATGCATTTGTCCTCTCTCAGTTCTATATAGATACGTCATTGGCAGTAGGAATACTTTGGAGAAGAGAGGATGGTGGTGACACTAACAGTGAGTGTGGGTGTACCACAAGCCACACACTCTCCTTCTGACTCAGCCTCTGACTAATATATTTGCCGAGAGACTCGTGACTGCACGCGTTGTACCCTTGAGGCAGAGGCTATCTGGCGACCATCCATAGTGTGAAACTGTGATTATAGTGCTACAGTGAGTGTAGCTACATGCAGTGAGCGCACCTGTTTGTAAAGTGAAATAAAATATTGAAATGTGTTACTTATGATTGTTAATGTTGGTTTAAAATGTGTGGAATGAACAAGGTGAGACTATGCTTGTTGTGTGTGTGATAGTGTAGAATACTTACCCTTATATTTATTTTTCAAGTAACAAAGACAATCAACACCAGACTCAGTAAAAGGATAGATAATACTACTATAAGACTTAAAAATTTATTTGAAACCTTGATGTATTATTTAAGTCCTGTAGAAATTATTGATTCAAATTGTAATTCATCTTTAATTTGAAATACTTTATTGAACTATGCTTTAGGAACCATTTGAATGAAATTTTTTATTATTTTCATTTTTATAAAAATTATTTATTTTAAAAATTAAACTTAAAGTGTTACATAAAATTGTATTTGAGATAGGTGAATGAATGTAAAAGTATTACATATGCTTTTAGCCTAACAGCGTACTATTTTGATTATTATAAATAAAAAATTTTCTGAATTTTTTTTTCACTATTTTTTTTCATATTTTTAAAATAATTTTAAATGTAATTTTCTTTATAATACATTGTTATATGCCTAAGTAACTTCATTATTTAAACATGAAATAATTGACATTATATTTAACACTGCTCATAAATTTTAAATAAGTTTTAAAATAAATTTTTATTGCCGTACATTGATATTTGTTCAATAATTTACTTATTTTTTTAATCTTTATAATATAAACACATCCTAATTTTTTAAAAAGAAAAGAAATGACAAAATCTGTCCATTTTAATTGTTAAAAAAATAAATTCCTAATATTGATGTTCCCTTATCTTTCAGACTTGAAACCATTGTTTGAGTTAGAACATCTCTTATCTACCTATGCTCTATCCTCTTCACTTTACACTGTGTGTGTAGTGTGTTGGCGCCATGTCGAGAGAGCGTTTGGTGAAGGCAGTGAAGCAGTTTGTGGAGGTTCGATACAAGGTTTTCAGTAATCGTTATGGACAAAACATCATTGATATCTTGGACTTCCCAATTAAGGTGGTTTTGTCTCCTTTCACTTTGGCCTTCGACATTGCCGGTTCTGCTCCTCGTGGCTTCGGCGTCCCCGAACTCATCTCTAAACTCTCTGCTGCTTCGGTTTTCGTTAGTCCCTTCTCCTTTTTCACCTCAAAAATCGATGCTTTTTCCCTTTTCCTCATCTGGGTCGAGGTCCCATTTCTCAGCTTCTCGGTTTTGATGCAAATTGTTCATTTTTTATTCAATTTTCCCCTTTTAATTTCTGGGTATTTGAGGAATGGAGATTAAATGTCACTTGCTGAACGTAGTCGTTTGTTTCTTTGGATTAAGAAAGTGTTTTTGTTTTCACGGTTTTGAGATAAACTCAGCTCTTAAAGACTGTGTTTAAGCACAAAAGAAGAATAAATTTTTATTGTAAAAAAAAATTATTTATTATATTAACGATAGAAAAGTGAAATAAGTATTTTTTTTTCTATGAAGTTTAATTATTATTTTTAGATGCTTAAACTGATTATGAAGAATTCAGGTTAACAAAACTGTTGTTTTTATTTATTTTTTTATTGTTATTAATGATTATAAAATGACGTTTATTGACGAATGTTGCTGCATGGCTTGGTTTGGTTGTAGGCTATTGCTACACTTGGGACCTATGACATTGCATTAGAGCTGGGGAGGAAGGTGATATGTCAAAGGTGCTGTTTGGTTGTCTCACTTGAATGCATAATGGTGCCTCTAATTTTTTATTTGTGCAGTGTAGTGTTGTTTGTTGGCTTTGGAGTTTGTTAAACTCTGACTAAATGTGTGTTTCAAGAACAGGAATTGTAAGACATGTAATGGATGGCAGGCCTTGCGGTGTACAATGTGCCGAGGAAGTGGAAAGGTGCATTATCAAGTGAAGAATTGCACCTTGAAAAGGTAAGTTACTGTCCATGTGGATAAATTTAGAGGTTGCAGTCGATGTTGTTATGTAAACTGTGGCTTGTTTGGTGTTCTTGTTGAGATTTTTAATAAGGATCCAAAAACATTTAACTTGCAAAAATGATTTCAATGTCACATAATTGAGATTCTAGTGGTATTGGAATATTCTGCAAATCTTTGTCATTTGTTGTCATGCATTATGTAGTTAGTCTAAGCCCCCAAGCATACTTTTAAGTAATAAATGTCACTCACATATACAAACTACAAAGTTCAGATGGAAAATGGTACTGGTTTTAACTCATACTAATTATATGCTAGTGTGTTTTCATAAATGGTCTTTAGGAAGACCATGCTTGCTGAGTTTCATCAAAGTTGGAGTTTGACTGTCAGCCATCAGAGTTACACTGATTTAATATATTAATAGTTGGAAATGCACTGAAAATATCTGCTGTCAAATCAGCAAATATCAGTCAGATTTATATAAAATTGGGTATGTAAGATAGTGCAGTAAATCTTTTCAGTGGATAATTATCCTCCATTATGATTTCTTTTTGTGTATCTTTGTTTATCGTCTCATAGGATTCTCTCCCAACTTATAAACACCTTATATGTTCTTTAACTTGTTCACTTTTAGTGGAGAGAAAGCGACTGCTGAATCTGTAGCAGATGCCATTGCAGACAATCGGGCTGAGTTAGTGCATTTACCATTGGCCTTGGATTTTCAGAGACCATTACCTTCAAAAGAGTGTCCAACTTGTGATGGAACGGTATGAGTTAAATTCCAATCCAACATTCCCCCCCTCAATAAAAAAAAATCAAAATTTCACTTTGAGACCAATAATAAGTCTCATTATTTTGTCTGGTAACTTTTACATTGCAATGCTGCATTGTGATTTTGGTTGAAGAATTAATTGACTATGCACAGGGTGTAATGGGCTGTCCTGAATGCAAACACAAATTGCAAGTTAGGATCTCAGCAGATGATGTGAGTTTTGTTTGATTCCATGGTGCTTGGATTCTTTTTTAACTTATTCATATTTTGATCTTTAATATTATATTTGAAATTTTAGTAATTCTTATTGTTTTGTTTTTAAGTGGCCTATTCTTTGGTGCAGATTATGGAGCCCCCATGGCAAGCTTATAATGTCTTGAAAAAGATGGATTATCCATATGAGGTCAATGCTATTTCTAAATTCTAATCTGATTCTATCTAATAAACAATTGCTATTTATTGTTGACTATGGGTAATATAATATAGATTCCTCTCATATGCAACCAAACAAACCTTCAGCCTAGGCATTCTTACTCTCATATATTTATGTTTGTATTATGCATTGGAGTTCATGTTTCTCTTAGATTTACATCTCACTTAAACTTTTATCACTTAAATAAGTGTCACAAGGGGAATTGAAATGACTTCAATTTTCTCCCTCTTATTTGACATTTTAATCTTAATTATTTTTATTTTTTTTCCTTTTCAGCACATAGCACACAGCATGAAAGATCCCAGTATTGCTGCATTTTGGCTGATTACATTTCCTCAGATTATGGGTGGATTTACCTATGATGATGAAGTGAAGCAGAAAATATGGTGGCAGTACAAGGTTGTCACATCATATTCCTATCCATAGTCCAGTTTTAGTTCTACTGTTCATCGATTATTTTTTTCCCTAATTGGTTTCAATATGATATTTCTTATTTTCATGTCTTTACCTGCTTGTTTAAATCAATTCTTTTCAACCTAGATTACATATTGTATAGCCTTGAACTTTTGGAGTATGGTGAACTGGAAAATGTGCTTTGAATGCAAGAAACATCAAGAACTAGTACCTTTTGAGCTTTGGCCTCTTGGGTTTTGTGCACAAAGCTGCTGTTATGATGTGTTTGGTAATGATGTAAATGGGGGTGAAAATGTCTGCTCAAAATTGGGAGTGATGTACAATAAATGATAGCTTGGTAAAAGAAATAGCGAAATTGCATACTTGCCTGCAACAATTTTTTTATTGCAAATTTATGATGAATATAAGGTGAAAATACAATGTGAATATTCAAGATTAATCAAAATTAATACGTTTTTTACTTCTTTACCCTTATGTTTTTGTTAGGAATGTGGTCAAAGATTGTATGGCAACTAAAAGTGTTCTATATTTTTGTTCCTCCCTACTTCTGGCCAATCATTCCAGAGGGATGAGAATGATTTACAATGATCTGATTTTCCTTCTTTGCTGCATATTCACAAGTGAAAATTTAATTTCTTCCATTTTGTTATCAAGTCACTCTGACTCTTTGAGCTCAGTGCTACATGCACTTTGTTGTGAGGTTGGTTTTAGTGTAATTTCATGAAAATACCTGGTATAACTAATCTCAGTTGATATATGAAATTGAAAGTTGCTACAGATAAAAGCAGAACCTCACTAGTTTTAGATAGATGTTAATACTGTCTGCTTTTAGCCTTTTGTAGATTTCATCATTTTCCAGCACAGAAGTTAGTTTTCCCAGCATCTACTGTTTAATCTGTGTGTGTGTTTTTAATAGTGAAGGACTAATGGGACTTGTCTGAATAATACTGTGGATTTCTCTAACTGATAATTATAATCTGTTGGAAGTGATTCTTTGGACAAAACACTGTCCTGTGTATGCCAATAACAATTTGAAATTTCAGATTGCTGAGGAAAGTGGTGCAGTAAACAAGACTTAATATTTAAAATGGAATTGAAGAAAGGGGCATAACTCTGATTATATTACATGTGGAATTGATTATTCTGTCTTCTCATTCAATTAACCAGACATCATGCAGCCAAATTCATCATCATCTATTACATTCATGCTTTATAGTATTTGGTGAAATCTATGCTTCTAAATCCATATATTTCTTTTGTGGGTGAATTTAGGAATCCAGGCGATACGATGAACTCCGTGATGAGGTGGCCAAGAGAAAACCAGGGTGGGAGTATCTTCAGGATGTAAGTTTTTTATCCGGCACACTAAATATTGTTTCTTGCAGCCATGGCTATTTAGCTATGCCTATGCTTATACTTAGCTGTGGACAAACAAGCAGGGTAGAATGTAGGTATGCAGGGGATTTATCTAGTTGCTAAAATAAATCGAAAACTCTTTTTTTTACTGTTTTTGCAATAGCTAAGGTGGTTATTTTTTGACTTGGATGCTTGATACAGTGTTATTCCTGTGCTTGAAACTATGACAACTTAATATCCTTGTAGTTTCCTCTGGATCAAATTTTGCAATTTTTGCTGTTTTTTCAATCATTCGGTTATCACAGGCCTTGATATCTATAGATCCTGCCCGGGCAAGGGATGATCCTGTCATAGTGAAAAATGTCCCTTACTATAAGGCTAAGAAGGCCCTGGAGACGGAGGTTATGAAGCTTGATCCTCCACCAAGACCGCCAAATTGGGGTGTATGTATTCACTATCTTCATGTCACATTTTCTAGTTATTCCTTTTTAATTGTTATGAATATGCAGATTTGTCTACTATGCTCAAGTAATGTGCATAATTTTCTTTGGAATTATGGTGTGCTTTGGAATTCTTTCTCCTTTTAGTTGGCTAGAATGGGCATAGACGACCATAGTTTGTGTGGCAGGATTGGCATTGCCATTGTGAATGGATTTATGAACTGGCCTCTGAGCCAGTCCAAACAAGCCTCCTTGTGGTTTTTTCAGTGAATGAGTCAAACCCTGATAACCCACCTGGATGGTCTGACTTGATTTACTGTTCTTTTCAAGCTTAAAAGAAAAGGCAACTTTTTTTTAATTTATATTATTATCCATCCAATCCCATTTCTTAACCCTAATGCTGAACCATTATTGCCACTAGTTTGGTTTCATCATATAGTATTCTCTTATATAAAATACATTTATAATTTTTCCCCCTTTGCCTGAGTTTTCTGGTTCAACAGCATGATCTGTGATTAGGTTACTGACTTGGCCATTTAACACATTTGTCCTTTTGATTGTGTTATACAACTGTGTGTATGCATATAACTCTTTATTCATTTTTTTAATATCTCTGAGATTTTAAGAGTTATATGCATAGTTGTGTGTCACTCCATCTTGAGACTTTGGATGAACCACCTGCTGTCTCTGTTGCTGTCCTAGTGTTTCCGGCCCACCTGTGTCTGTTCCATTTTCTTCACCCATGACTGTTCTCTGTTCTCTCTGAGATATTCTGGCCTTTGTTTTTGTTGTGGCAGTAATGCACACACATCTTTCATTTCGGTGTTTAGATTAAAACTATGGCTTTTTGATTATTGATTATGTATGTCTTTAATTTTGGATTTTTTAGCAATTATATATGTATTGGATAAATTATTCAATCTGTATGTCAAAACTTCAGTATATTGTGGGCACCCTGTTAAAGCAATTTGGGATAGGCAAGTATGGTTTCCATAGAATAGAAGCGATAGCTGTAATTGATCTCAATCTCTAAGATTTAGGTGTTCTTGTTTAGTAATTTCTGCATATAAATGCATTGGGCTAGGTTTTTCTCTCAAGCAATTCACTGCCAAATCCAACTTAGTTTCAAGCATTAGTCTTTGACCAAGTGGTTTAGATTTTGATCCTTGCCACCACCAATTCTTCTAATTAAAAAGTTTAATTCCAGCCCAAGAATGGTGGGCCTCTGCATAATCCATGCATCAAGCAAAAGGAGTATTGAATCCATTTGCTGCAAATAATTTGATGATCCATTTTGGTGCATAATAATTTGAATGAAAGACTAACAGTATGAATTGAAATGGCGAAGTATCACAATAACCTGGTATAAAACAGCTGACATGACAATGGGTAAGACAGAATGTAAATACCAATACAGTGTATACCAAACACGATGCGTAGATTGCATATAGGAGTTTTACATTCAGCAAGACTAGTTTAACATATGCTCAGTTGCTTGGCACTACTCATCAATATCTGGAAAAAAAAAATTGTGAAGTAGTGTAGGATGTAGGCATCATATGCCCAGAAATGAGACATAACTAACTACTGTGAATTGGCAGGAGCTGGACCTTCCATTGAGTGCATCATCTTGGAGTGAGGAGGATCTGAAAAATCCAGAGAAATTCTATGAAATGACTGTTCTTCTTAATGCCCAAAGAGAAATCTCTGATCAGATATTGGATGCACAGTGGGAAACTAAATGGCGTCAGGACAAGGTTGGTGATTTTTTTCTTTCAATTTCCTGTTTGTTACTTTGTTCATGGTGAAAGGATCAACTTATCAGAACCGACAATCAGGCATTTTGATGTAATGAAATTATGTTAGACAGCACGTAGTACAATTGTTTTACTTTTGTCTCAAGAACATACCCTATGTATTTACTGTTAGTTCACAATATACATGGTATTCTTGGTTCTTGCCTCAAAATTCAGGACGCAAAGCTGTCTACGGTTTACTGAGTTGTGTACTCAAACTACTTTAAGAATTATTTTATGCCTTTTAATATATATTCAACTTGTCAAATAGTATCTTTCACTTTGTAATGTCATTGTTCATCAATCTTTTGTGCAACGCACTGATGCTTGATTTCACCTACAGTTTAATGAGATGTTGGAGGCAAAGGTGAAGCCATACATTCAGGATATAGACAACACAATTCTTTCTGAGCCTATTTTCTTAAAATCGCAAAATCAGGATCAGGTCTCTCTCTCTCTCTCTCTCTCTCTCTCTCTGTTTTGTGTGTGCATGTGACTAGGATGCTCACAACTTTCTATTTGCAATGTCTGCACATATTAAAAAATTGACGTTAATAAAGGTCGTGCATGTGTAGGAGGAGTTGGATTTACTTATTGCTTTGCTTCTATTTGCCATATATTGGGTTGATTATATTTTCCCTTCTAAGTGTTTGGTTCAACATTCCGTTTTATACCAATTTAATAACTTGGGAATTTTTTTTTCCCATTTTGAAGTCTTGAGCATTTTTAGAAATGTAATGTAGATACATAAGCTTTGTAGCAACTTGGGATTTTCTAGGGGCACTATGGATGTTCTACAATTCAAAACTGGAGATCTTGCATCATGTAGAAGATGCTGAGTAGATATTTAAACTTCAGAGCTAGCTAATTTTTTTCTAAGTTCATTAGTTGCACGTGTTTCATTGAAATTAAATAAAAAAGTTAATATGTCCTTAGTTTCATGTTGTTACTTTCTCAACAATCCCTCTTGCTCCTAGTGCTTAACTTCCATGTTACTCCTGCAGAGACGTCGCAGACGGAGGTGGTTCTTCTTTTGACAACAGGAGCAAAGCTACTGTATGCTTGAACATGCTTGTTTGTAGTCCTCATTATTTTGTTATTATCTGTAACTATTCATACTGTTGATTTTTATTTCCCTTTTAGTTGGTTTGCTTGGTCTTTCCCCATTTTGCCAAGCACATATGTTGTGCCTCTTTTTCATGGTCATCATTCTGTGGAGGAAACAATTGTTTGTGACACAAGAAATACGACTTATGAAAAGGAAAATCTAGAGAAACATGCAAGAGGCAGCAAAACCTGCATGCAGCCAAACCTTTGCTTATGTTACATTTGGTATTATGTGAAACACAATCCAAAGATATCCATCCTATTTAGATTATTCCTTTTGATCCTGTGTCTCGCTGAAATTCCTTAAAAGTAATCCCTATGTCTTGGTTGTGGACAACCAACTCCTACTCCGTGCAGTAAGTTATCTTCATTACTGCCAATATATATATACAGGAACATAATGAATGAGAAAGTTCATGAGATTCAAATATAAAAATCTATTTTTAAAAATTTATGAGATTTTAAAAATTGATTGCACGATTTTAATTATAAGTTAGATTTATTTTTCGTTTTTTTTCATAAAAATGGCTTTTCATTGAATACATTCTCTCTTTCCTTGTGTCTCTGTATTGGGATTTAATGATAATGGGTGTTAAATTTAGTAAAATAATATTGGATGTAGTGAGTGGATTTATCGTTACAGATTTTTTATATACACGAAAATTCAAATATGATATCTTGTTTAAACGATATCGAATGTCTATTACGTGCACTTTTCATCTGGGGCTGATGTTGGCTCAGAAGCAAGCGTTAACCAAGAGCCACATCAGCTTTCTCGCCTCGGATCCTCCGGTTCCAGTCAACCTTTCGCTTCCAGTAGTACCGTCGAGCATATTGAGCTACTTATTATTATTGATACTTTTAATATTTTTTATTAAAAATAAATTTTATTAAACTAATCTTTTCGTAGAGATAGTGTAAATTATTCATACCATTAATTGATACGAGAAAATATAATATAGTGTGGAAAAAATATATAAAATTATATGAATCCTAGATATAGAGATTTTATTGGATTTCAATTTTACTTTTATAAATATGTTTAATGGTTGTACAATTTGTCAAACAGTAATTTGTCATATAAAAATTTTTTAAAGGTAGATCTATAATTAAGCTATAAAGTTTAGTAGTTAAAATTGAATAATTAATGAAATATTAATTGACATGGTGTGGATTATAGATTTGTGATGTGACATGACAGTGTATGGTATACATCACTGTCTATGAGTTTTTGCCTTACACTTGGAGAGAGGCTTTAGGTTGAATGTTATATTAACACTGCGAGAGGCCCCTCAATTATCCAATTAAAACTCGAATCCTCTTGCCGACGAGAAACTACTCCATAAAGAGACAACTCAATTTTTATTACTGTTATTAACTTTTGTTCCCTGAAAATGATAGCTATTGACGAGTCAATAATTCAAAAAAATAAATAAAAATTAAGACCCATTGATCTTCAATTCAATGCATAGACGATGTGAAATATTGACCCCTTTGAAGAAATAAATGAGATGGTTACACTGCCAATTGATGACTGTAGAAAATAGATACGCGGTGTTTGGTTGTTGGACAATATTTAAGTATCGTGTCTTAAGTGTTTTCATATTATTTTAAACTAAATTTGTATTTTTATTTTAAAAAAAGGTCAATCTTTAATATTATTCTATATTATATTAATTATTAAGATGAAAATTTCATTTTAGTTAAAAAATTAAATATACTTAAAGTATTTTATCTGATTTTTATCTTTTTAAAAAATATTAGCAATATACACTTTTCTTAACACATTTTTTTAATATATCTTTATCTGATTGGTCCATTGATTAAAAAGTTGAAGTATTAACTTTGTAAATTTTTAAAAAAATATTTTTATTTTTAAAAAAAGTATTAAACAATATTGTTAAAAGAGTGTGATGTCAATGTTATTTCATTTTTGTTAATTTTTTGAGAGAGTCTTTTTTTCATCGACTTTTGTATGTGCTTTCAAGAAAGATTTTCGTTTCACATTATTTATTGTTTTAGAAATTAATAATCCATCAACTGTTTTAACTGTGTAATAAGTGGAAAATAAAAAAAAATAAAGCTATAATAACATTTTAGGTATTTTAGTAAAAAAAATCAAATAAATATTTTTTTAAACTTATAATTGAAACCATTCGATCACTATTTTAATTCTTGGACAAGAAACTCAAAGGACATATCAAAGTAGATGGAGGCAGTGTTCGGTTTAATCTTACACATGAAACAAGTAATTGATTTTAATTGAGCATTTGTAAAATTTATTTTAAATTATCTTAATTATCTAAAATTAATAGAAAATTCTCTCTCTCTCTCTCTCTCTCTCTCTATATATATATATATATATATATATATATATATATATTGATTTTTATTTTCTAAGTATCGACTAAATTTAAGCCCAATTACCATTAATAATTTCTAGTCAAACAAGCTTTTACAAACAAAATTAATTTTAATCTTATATTGACTGAAATTAAGTGAAATTTATGAAAACTAGAAAATTAAATAAATAAATAAAAAGTAGGATACATAATTTTCTAAATATTAACAAATTTTAATTTATAATAAAACGTGTTAGAGAAAATATACAAAAGAGTGTACCTAATATTCTTCCTTTACGTGGACTGTCCACACTCTTCTGCCATAACCCATAACTTTTCTTATTTCTACGTTGACCTTGCGTCAACTCTACAGTTGCCACTGTTTTTTATTCCTACAAACATATTTTCATTTAAAATATAAACATTCAATAAAAATTTCTAAAATAATAAACTGAAACATTATCTAGCCGTTGTGGGCACGTGACACATAGAGACATTGAAGGAAAAATAATAAATTCGCATTATGATTTAGGCTCGTGAGCTTACTAAACTTTAGATTAAGAAAATGATGGTAATCACTGTATTGTTATATAAAAATTGAAAGTAGCTTATCGATCACACTTTCCACCTCATGTCTCCATTTACAAAAATAAAGCAAGTCTAAGGGGAAGGAGAATAAATAAACATTAATGATTTTTTATTTTGTAAGTATCGATTAAAATTCAAAATCACAGTATTAATCTAATTATTTAAAAATAAACAAAATATTTATTAAATTCTAAAAATTTCCCATGCTACAAAAGCTACGTTTCAAAAAGTAGCTTCTACTTTTTGGATGGTCCACAAGTAGCATGGCTATTCACACATGGCAATTATTAAAGGTGGATCATCGTGTAATGCATGGCTCTATTTATTACATAATAAAATTGTTTTCAATTTTATTTTATTTTTCTCAAGAAGAAGTGGATGCCGACACGTTTGCTAAACGATGGTGATTGGTGAGTTAAAACTTACGGGGTGCGTTTTATTTTTACAAGATTATAGAGAAAAAGATTGTATCTCATTTCAAGATAAAAAATGTTACATTCTTCAAGAGAATTTTTATTTCATAATTTTTTTAACACGTACATTTTAGAATAGTAATTAAAAATGTTTCATTAATAAATATAATATTATTTAAGTAATGTTTTAACAGTTTTATAAATTAGGCTTTTAAAGTTGAGTTTATCTATTTAGAATAAAGTATGAATTGAGTTTTAGGTTTATAGTTTTAGTCACATTTGTACTTGTTTCACCTCAAGTTACAAGTCTTAAAAGACCTTAACGATTCATTCTTCTTTTCTGCCGTCAATTTATCGTATCCTCCTTCTTCTTTACCTCGCATCAGCTAGTCTGACTTGCCTCCCTACCCTTCATATGAGTCACAACCTCAAATTTGTAATATCAACATTGTTGGCCTCCTTCTTCCTTGTTAGTGTTGTTCATTCCTTCCTAGTCTTATGTGACTCTAATAATATTATCTTTATTTGTTCCTTTCCAATCTTTGTTTCAAGACTTCTATAATATGGACCATGACATAATCTATATTTGTTTGCTCTGTTTATTTCAATTACTTTCTTTACTTATTTGTTTTGTTTGCTTCTATTCATCATCTTTGTTCAATCATTTGTTCATCTTAATTTGATTATCTAACTAAACTCAATCATTGTATAGTTAGATTAGAATTTAGAGCAAAAAAAATTTGATTCAACTTAATTAATTTATATATATATATATATTAAAATTTTTTATGTTAATATAAGTGTAAAAACTCTTATATTTAATAACTAATAAAATAATAAATTATAAATAAATATAAGTTAAATAAAAAATAATTTAAAATATTTTTGTGAAAATCTCTTTTATCATCTTATAATATTATATACATTATTAAAGGAGGACGACCTTTTAAATCATTAAAGTGAAATTTATATAGTATTTCCAAAGCCTATCAGTATACGAAGGATTGTGATTTGTGCACTGTGATGGAAAACATATCAATGCGCTAAACCGCAAAAATAAATTGCAACCAAAGAAAAGAATTTGATGGTCAAACCCAACTCCAGGCTCTTTGCTAAACATAAAATATAAAGATTAGACATAAAATTAATTATGAGACTGGCCTCATATTTCCATATAACAACATTATCATAACAAAAATAAAATAAAAATGTTCACAAATTATGTAATAAAAAATAAAAAATACTAATATGTCCGATTTTCTATCCAAGAATAGTACTTAGAGCAGCACCAACGAAAATGGTTAGCAAATACACCGCTAACCCAGACGGCGTTGCAGACGACGCGCCGTTTCGCTTGGCCGGCGCCGTTTCATTTGACGAAGACGGCGTTGCATTAGCGCCGGGACTAGATGATGGCGTTTGTGACGATCGCGGAGACGTCGTCGACGATGACGGTGAGGGAGTTGATGCCGCCGGAAGTGACGCCGTAGGAGAAGCGGTGGGAGTGATGGCGGGCGGAGACAAGTATGGCGGCGATGTTGTGGCCGGCACCGGAGCAGTCGTCGGAGTGTGGAGCGAGGGAGGGTATGCCGGTGCAGTTGAAACTGAAGGTGGCTGAGATGGCGGTGATGTTGTGACCGGCACCGGAGAAGTTGCAGGAGTGAGGTTCGACGGTGGGTATGCCGGTGCAGTTGAAACTGAAGGTGAGGGAGGGTTTGTGGATGGATACGGTGATGTTGGTGAAAGTGGTGCCATTCCATGGGGTGATTGTGCTAATGGGGGCTGAGAGAATGGGGAATTGGGAGTGTTTGGAGGTGTTGGAACGTAAGGAGGTTGGGAAGTAGGAGAAGGAGTTTTTGGTGGCGTTGGCATGTAAGGTGGCTGAGAAGTTGGAGATGGAATTGTTGGAACAGAGGGTGGTTGATGAGTAGGAGAAGGTGTTTGTGGGGGTGTTGGAATGTAGGGAGGTTGCGAGATAGGGGAGGGACTAGTGTTTGGAGGAGTATGACTAGGAGAAGGGGTTTTTGGAGGGGTTGGGATGTAGGGTGGCTGAGAAGTAGGGGATGGAGTGTTTGGAGGAGTTGGGAGATGTGGAGGTTGATTTCCTGGGGAAGGAACATTGGGAGGAGCATAAACAGGAGAAGGTGTTTGCGGTGGTGTTGGAACATAGGGTGGATTATTAGAAGGTGATGGTGCTTTTGGAGAAGTTGGAGCATTGGGAGGAGTGTAAGTAGGAGAAGGTGTTTTGGGAGGTGTTGGAACATAGGGAGGGTGATTAGAAGGTGATGGTGAGTTTGGAGGAGTTGGAGTGCTGGGAGGACTATAACTTGGAGAAGGTGTTTTTGGAGGTGTTGGAACATATGGAGGGTGATTAGATGGTGATGGTGCTTTTGGAGTAGAAGGAACATTGGGAGGGGTGTAACCAGGAGAAGGTGTTTTTGGAGGGGTTGGAACATAGGGTGGTTGATTAATAGGTGATGGTGCTTTTGGAGGATAAGGAACATTGGGAGGAGTATAAACAGGAGAAGGCGTTTGAGGAGGAGTGGGAACTTTGGGGGGACTATAAACAGGAGAAGGAATTTTTGGAGGTGTTGGAACATAGGGAGGGTGATTAATTGGCGATGGTGCTTTTGGAGGAGAAGGAACCGTAGGAGGACTATAGCCAGGAGAAGGTGTTTTTGGAGGGATTGGAACATAAGGTGGATGAATAATTGGTGATGGTACTTTTGGAGGTGAAGGAACACTGGGGGGAGTATAACCAGGAGAAGGTGTTTGTGGAGGTGTTGGAACATAGGGTGGATGATTAATCGGTCCTGGTGCTTTAGGAGGATAAGGAACACTGGGAGGAGTATAAACAGGGGAAGGAGTGTGGGGAGGTGTTGGAACATAGGGTGGATAAGGAGATTTTGGAGGAGTTGGAACAGTAGGAGGATGAGGAGGTTTTGGAACATAAGGAGGGGAAGGAGTTTGTGGAGGAATAGGAACATAGGGAGGAGTATTTGGAGGTTTTGGAGAATAAGGAGGTGGTTCTCTCACAGCCAACACCACAATAATCAATTTCTGACCCTTTTCACAATTTTCATCCTTCCCACTGATGAAGTAAAAAGGACCCGATCGATCAAACTGGAACACCGAATCACCATCCTCCCACTTCTTGATCGGGTTCTTCTTGTTACATTTCTCATAATCCTCCTTGCTCACCTCCAACACCGTGTCTGTTCCCTTGTTATACTTAAAAACTAGCAACACAAAAACAAATCCAAAAGTTAAAACCAATCACAATCACAAACAACCATGCAACAGCAGAAAAATTGATCATCTTTGCAATGGAAACTCACCAAGAGTGTCACTGACTTGGAACCTGTTCCTTTCAGCCCAGTGATTATAATTCTCAGAAGGGTTCAAAACCCACCCATCATTTCCCCCAACGTAGAATGTGTAGGCTTGGGAACCCGATATAAGACCAAAGAGAAACAAGAGGCAACTACGTATCTTAAGTTCCATGTGCAAATAGAAGCAATTAGCTAAGGAGTGTGAATTGAGTTATATAGTGTAGCATACATTAACTTGTAGAAGAGAAGAGAGAGAGAGAGAGAGAGAGAGTAATTGTATATGCACAAAAGAAGCTTCAGAAAGAACCTAGGTGGCAGAGAAATGATGGCAAATAGAGTGAACATATAAAGGGAAACTTTTCCTTGGTTACCGTTGTGGAGGTGATGGTGTAGGACCAAGCGTGTAAGACGCAAGGCAATTACGTGTGAAGAGCTTACATGTGGCGAAATGATAGTGTTAAAAACGTTGAAATTTAATTTAATACAGGAGTTGTCGGAGTCATGTGCATGTATGGGAGGAGTGGCATCACCACACTAGGTAACTGTGCGCGTTTTTGCTCACTCACCATGGTCTAGTTTTACCCGTGTATTAAATAATAGTAACAAGGAAAGAAAACACTCATTTTAGAAGAGCATCAGAAGAGTTTATTTACTGTGTTTATCTTTCTTGGGAATTTATCGTTGGATTCTTAAAAATTGTGCGCTATATGGAACGGAGGGCGAAATCAATAATAATTAAAAATGGTTTTAATTTAGATAGTCAATAGTTGATATCTACTTTGCTTATAGAGAGATAGAAGCAACGAAGATCAATAAAGACAGAAGGGAATGAATCGTCATTGTGTATTTATGCCCTTGGGTTCGCAATGACTGGTAGATAGAATTTGCATTATTCATTTAAGTAAGAGTTGTGCAATCATTCACTTTTTTTTGGGTAATCAAACTGCGCTTTGTTTTGCTTTTTCATGGACTTTTTGGTAGCCGAAATGGGCGATTAAGTAATGAATAGCTAATGGTGTTCACTGTATATACTTTACTTTGATTAACTATTTTTAGTAAAAGTAATTTTTTTAATTATTAAAGTTAAGCATATTATAATTATTATTTAGAGGAGAATTTTACCCGTGTAATTATGGAGAGATGAATGCTGCTGACCTATGCTGAAGTCCTTGCTCCCATCTAAATTATCTAATCTTGCAGTTGCAATTTAATTGGGAAGACTAGAAATTTCCTTTATTTGAAAAACATTATTGTTAGGTATCATAACGTTACGATATTTTAAATTAGTATATCATGGGACACGGGTACTTTTTTTCCTCTAAAAATTATACTTTTAAAATCTCTCCAATAAAATTACTAAAAAAAATATAATTTGTTTTAAAATTTTGTTAACTTCAGTCATAATCTTAAAAGCAAAAAATAAGTAGTTAATAATAGTAAAATTTTATTCAAAAAATATTTATTATATTTTTATAACTTTAATATAATCACTGTATTTTTTTATAAAAAAAATTATTTATGAAAACTTAAATTCAATCTTAAAGATTAAAATGATCAAAACTCTTTATTTTATATAAAAACTGAAATTATGTCCTTTCAAATCGTAGACATTTTCTTTATGTTAAACGAGGGCCCTATTTTTGAATGATACCCCTCCCCGAAATGATAATGGGCTCACACATATATTTTATTTACTTTATATTTCGGTTCTTAAAGTTATACTAATAAAAATACACATCTTTACCGTTAGTATTTAATGTTGTATTAGTATTACTTTATATTTCGGTACTTATGAATCATTAATTTTATTTCTTCCTTTTTTATATATATAAGCATTCTGAAAACATTTTCACTTACAAAGATCATGATAATTTTAGGCGTCTCATTTTAGTGATTCAATTTTTTTATAAATATATATAATACAAACTTTCAAAGGATCAAATTACGAAACTCGTCGGAAAATTTTTACCACTAAGGCGTAAAAAAACAGAAAATAATATCGAAACAAAAAGCCCTAAAAGGATAGTAAAACCTGAAATTGCCAGATATATGAATTATTCTTGAATTTTTGTAAAAAAAATATGAATGAGATTCATGATGGATATATAAGACATGAAAACTTCAAGTAATTTATATAAAATTAAATAAAACGTTATGTTGTATTTATTTCTCATTGATTCTAACTTTTTAGTAGAATTGAAATGTATCACATTTTAACATCATGCGCTATATTTTGTTATATTTTTAAAAAGTATTAAGAATAAAACATAGCTTAGATTTTGTTTTATTTTAACTCTTACCAAACAATATCACATTCAAATTCTTGCAAACCCTCTGTTGAACCCTGGTTCTTCGACGTACATAAGAAATACACGGGAATGCCAAAAATGACTTTATAACCTAGAGAATTAAAATTATTTTACAAACTAGTTTATTAACTAAATGATTTATATTAAATAACTTAAAATGACATATAATATTATATTAACATAATATTAAAATAACTTATTATTTATTTAATTTATTTATGATCAATTAATTAAATAATTATATAAAAATAAATTATATAAATATTTAAACATAAAATATTTTAAGTCATATATTTTTAATATAAATTATATTTAGATAGAAAAAAGATAAAAAAAAATGAGATTGTTATAACAGTAAAGAGAACAAAAATAATAATTTTTTTAAAATAAAAAAGAAAAGAAAAATAAACAGTAATTATGGAGATAAAAAATAAATATATAAGATAAATGTATGTACGTGAGATTTTACTAATGTAACGAATTAGTTATTTTTAAAAAAAATATTGAGAGTAAAAATGTAAACAAAATATTAATAGGTAACTTATAAAAGTTACAAGCTCTTTTTATTTTGTTTTATTAAACGACTTTACAAGTTTATTGATATAACATAGTTCCTAAATAAGTGACATACATAATTTATTGGCATGTATATCTCTTAAATAAGTTACAAGTTACTTTTACCAAACATAGCTTAAATGAGAGAACTAATAAAAATATAAAAATATAAAAAATAATTTTAATTTATAGGCAAAATTTAATTCAATTTACTAAATTTTTAACTCTTTATGAGTATTTATTAAATAAATTTATAAAAAATCTTAATATATTATTTAATACACGTGTTATCCTCCCTTGAATAGATACATGAAAAAAAAATGTAAGAAGTATTATTAGGAGAATTAAGAAAATAAACACACAACATATTTTGTGTATAAAATAATGTTAACAACACAATTTTTTTTATTGACTAAAATTTATTAAAAATTAAAAAAATCATATATTCTGTCTTTCTCATAAATTAATATTTTTTATATTTATTTATCAATACATTTTAGGCAACAACAAAAGATGTTTTAAAAAGGTGTTGCAAATATCGACGAATGTATATGATTTTCAAGGTGGGCACCTCGCTTTGCACCTGTTGGCACACTGGTCACCGAGTTTAGGGTCATTAGAAAAAGGATTGACGCATCCAGCAATGCACTTCCCAAAACAATATCCAGGTGATGATGATCCTTTGTTCACTTCTTCTCCTTGGTTTTGTTCTTGTAGAGACTGAGACAATGTGCTAGTTTCAATGTATGTATCAGGAGGCTTCGCTGTGTCTCCATCAGCGTGTCCAGAATGAGCGTAGCTTGAGATGAGTATCAAGGCAACAAAGAGGGTTGGTGCAACTTTGTTAGAGGCCATTTTCATGATCTTGCTTCTTGCAACAATGGAAACAACCAAAATATATGGGTTGTGTTTATGAATAATCGTCTATTTTTGGCTGGAAAGATAATGCTGAATTTGGGATCAAATTGCATTGCTTTGCTTAATTAAGAGCGTTGACACATTTCTTTTCCTTTTAATTCCTATATGATCGGACACCACTAAATGCTAGAAAAGGGAGAAACCATACCCTTTTTCTTTTTCCCATCATTTTATTCATTGCTATTATTAATTGAACCTTTTCCAGCTTGTTTCTTTTCAGGTCCATTGATTTCGAAATAGGATTTGGATACTTTTCGAGATTATTTTATATGAAGCAGAAAGTTTATGCTGTGCTGCAACTAAGGTTCTAACGACAATCTAAATAGCTCCTTGTTTGAAAAAAAAAAAAAAGTTTTGATTGCATTTTAGGGTTTAGGTTCATGCACTCTAATTATTAACGAATAGACTTACTTTTACTTTTAATCCCTGTTATGATTTATAGGTATATTTGGTAAATATTTCAATAACTTTCTATCAAGGATAAATACTATAATTTTATGTGTGTTGTTCAATAATATTTTACATTAAATGATTTATTTGGATTGTGCACATTTCAGATGCAGATTTAATTTACCTAATTATTATCAACGTTTTTTCTAAATTTTTTTTTGAAAATATTACGTATAAAATATATAATACATACATTTATATTTTTGAGAAATAATTAAACAAACAAAAATATATTAAAAATATACTTTAATAACACATTTTTCGTGAGCAATATGGACTCATTATTTCTTCATTGTTTTTTCAACATTGATACAAAACGAAGGTCCAAATGGCCCAAAAACAAAAACCCTAGAGTGCACTGAACAATGCTGAAAATACGTAATTGTCTCTTACCAAAAAAAATAAATAAAAAGATGCAGAATCTCAAGGTTTCTATTTATTTGTTTTCTAAAATGAAAAATTCAATTTTTTAAAGTTCAAATTGTAATGTAATTTTCTTTAAAAATTAAGAATTCTTGGAGGTTTCTTTAATTAATCTATAACTTAAAAAATGAATGAAAAAAATAATGAAACCCTTATATTTTGGGGTCGAGGAGATGGATATCTCATTCAAAATAGAACGTCGTTATTCTTCTTAGACGTCTCAATTCTAAATCAATTTAGGCAATTATGAGGGGCAACAAAAAACACTAGGTATTATGAGGAGACTAGGGCCCAACAACCTAGGGCCCAAATTGATGCAGCAAAAAGAGAGTTAACTTAAATAGAAGATTGTTGGACTTAATCTTGGCCCAAAGAGACATTCAGTTTAGTCCATTTGGTAGTACGCGAGGTCAAAAACAAGAGAGTCCCAGTTTGACAAACCAGCCCACAAATTAGTCCAATCCATAAACCCTACATCATAAAACAAATATACAAAAACAAAAATGATTAAACCAATTAATGAAAAAGATTATTCTCCTTGGCATCTGAACAAACATGATGAACCAAAATGTTCTCAAATGTTTTTACCTTAGCCTGCATGTTGAAATTAAATCCAAGAAGGCATGATATTGGCAAACCAACAACATAAAATGTTGCTAAGTTGACATATGCAGCCAAGTGTTGCCAACCACATCCTCTGATCACACCTGATATATCAAAGGTATATCCCTCCCAGTGATTTTATGTGAAAGATAAAAAAATAGATATAATGTAGGTTAATGCATAAAATGAAAAATTCAAACCTGACAAAACACCTTGGATAGCATCTAGTAGTATAGAAATGACAAGTAAGGGTGTCACTGAAGCAAACTCTTCTTTAATTTTAGCACTATCACTAAACAATTGAATCCAAATATTATGACCAAATGTAAGTGCCAAACCAAAACATAAACCGAGGAAGAGAGAGAGCAAAAGGGTGACTCTCATTGCATTCTTAGCTCGATCAGGGTGCCCTGCTCCCAATTCATTGGAGACCCTTGTGCTATCAAAGTCAAATTTCAACTTTTTAAAATTGTACAAAAATGTAAATCCAGAAGATACACAACAATACAAGCATATGAGAATATTTTCAACTCACTTACCTTGCAGCTGCGCTAAGACCATAAGTGATCAGGTAGGCAATTAGTTCTGTGTTTGCACTGCAAATATTATTGAATATTATACAAGAATAAATACATTTTATTTCAGGAATAGAAGTGTAACTTGAAAAGCATTAGACTCATACCATACTGCAATCAATGAAGTAGTTATTGTTGGGTCAGGCATTAGTCCAGCTAACAAAACCATAATCTCAAAAGCCCAATACTCCAAACTTGCATAATATGAACATATTATAAGATTCATGATATAATGGTTTCACTTTAAATTGCAACATTATTCTCTGAATATGAATTGTAGATAGAGTTCAATCTAGGATCCATAGATTTGTTTGGTTTGAGAAAATATTTTAATTATAAAAATACTTTTTTTTACTTTGTTTGTTAAAAAAGTAAAACAAAGTGAAAAGAATGTGCAATTTTGTAAATGTTTAAACAGTTTTATTAATATCAACGTTGATTTTAAACATTTAAAAGTAATACAGTTTTATTAAAAATGAAAATTTGATTTATTTTTATATTCTTAATGTAACAATTTTTTTTTTCCAATAAAACATATCACTTTTAGTTGTATAAAATTAATACACGTTGATGTTACTAACATTTTTCTTATCTAAAAAGAAAATTAAAAAAAAAAATCAAACCAAAAAGACTTCTTTTTAGCTGAAAATGCTATTGCTCTTAATATAAATTTCTAAGATCAATGAATCATGAAAGGGGCTAGCTAAGTGAAAGGTTGTTAACATACCATACCATTGCTGCAGAGAGCAAAGCCAGTTTCAGCTCTACAAATATGTAATGGAATGACTCAACTGAAAATCCTGTCCAAGTTTGCTTGAACTTTTCTGCATAGTTGATATACATGGCCAACAATGGTATGGAAATCCATAATGAGATAGAAGCTGCTATAGGAGCCCCTATAAAACTCAAATCTGTCCAGTATATCAAGGCATATGCAATAAGAATATGAATCAACAGTGGAATAACTGAGAAGATCACCAATGGTGTTACAACAGATTGTGTTTGAAGAAACCTCAAGATATTTTGCAAAAAGCCATATGCAAATATGCCAGGGATAAGATACTTCACATAGAGTCCAGCTTCTTTTGCAATATCATGAGATTGGTGAAGCAATAAAAGGATTGGTTCTGTATAGAACCAAATAATGGCTATGATGATACAGAAAACAAAAGATATGATGCAAGAGGATTGCAGATATATTCCCAACATTTTGTATTCTTTTGCTCCAAATCCTTGTCCACAAAGTGTTTCTAGTGCCCCACTCAAGCCAACCTAACACAAAGAGAATGTAGATGGAGTTGGTCTTGTAAGAGAATACTACTCAAAATCTTGTTGCATTATTTTATTCAACTAGTTTTGAGGCAATGTTATGGTGTTAAATATATGTTAATTCCATCATTTAACCTTCAGAACCAGACTCAGACATAACCAAATTCTTGCATGCATAACAACGAGAAATATTTACATGTGTCTTTACCAAAATTATTACCTAGCCTGGATTTAAATTGCAATATACACGAGTGAATTTTTAACCATAGGTACTCTGTTATCAACATTGATCAGATGCATACATGAGCTTTCAATATACCCATGTTATATTTTCTCACATTTTGATAAGAAACTACCAGTATAAACTGATATTTTTTTTCTTAAGAACACTTGCTACCTAGCTATCTATTTCTTTTAGGGAATATATAGTAATTTTTAGAATGAACTTACCTCAAGTTCCTTATAGAAAGTAATTTTTTAAATAGATACTAAGACAATTATGTATTCTAAGTTTTTATCGAAATAACATGATATTATAAAAGTAACACATAATTTTTAATAAAAATTTATTATTTATTAATTTTTCATGATGTATGATTAAATACATTAAAAAACCCTATATAAATAAATAAATAAACAAAAATAAAGATAACATTAATAAAAGAAAACAATTAAAAATATATATAACATGAGATGGATGCAGTAATGAATTATAATTACCATAACTGCCAAACCAGTGACACTAAACCATGAATTTGCCAAAGTAGCACCTGCAAGCTGAAGCTCCCCAAGGTGGCCAGCGAACATGACAGAGACCAAAGTGATCAAGTAATAGGACAAGTTAGTGAGAAACATTGGCAGTGAAAAAAGTAGTTGACACTTAGCTTCCTCCAAGTCCAAGATTTTGCTCCACCATGGAGTTGTGTTTTCTTCCTCTTCATGATGAGTGGTAACATCTAATAGGGGTGTGGCCTGTGTTATTGTGCCATCAGAACTTCCTTTTCTCTGCATCATAAACTATATTAATCTATTTGCTTCTATTTTCTCTGTTCTTTTTCAATTGTATGCATAAATGAATGGTTAATTGTGATCAAACAACCATTTGTACCTTGTTTGATGTCCATGATCCCCACGAGACATTCGTAATAATAGCGACCACCTACGTGTAACACACGAAATCCACAAGTGGGTATGTCTTGAATTTTCCACAATTTTTCTTCCCCCAAACTCTTCATTTATTATTAATGCTCAACTTGAATGCTTAGGTAAGCAGAATGGGTATTTAATGATCTTTAAAAAAACCAATTTTTATAATAATAAAATAAAATAAAAACATTCGTGACATTTTAAGTATAATATATGTTAATGAGATTAAATAAATGATATTTTATGAATAAACTAAATAGACTAAAGTGTAATTAAGTTATTATTTTTATACGTAAAATTACATGTCAGCCTAGGTACCTTTTCCTATTTTATTCAAATAGATAATTGTGTTTTTAATTGCTGTAAATATAAGTTAACTTTTATTTTTGTCCTTTAAATATTTTATTACTTTTGATCTTTGTAATTTTTTATTTTTTAAATATTTTTATCACTTCCTATTGATGATGTGACGTACGTTTAAATATGTTTACATTACTTATCATCTAAAAATAGTCAATAACGTGGTATCGCTAATTAAGGACATGTCACATTATCACATGTACCATTTAAAATTTTAAAATATTTAAGAATATAAACTATAAAAAAAAAATTGAAGAATAAGAATCTCCTTGCAATATTAAAGTATTTACTTAGTTAAAGTAAATAAATACTCCTTATAATCATTTAATTTAAATTTTAATCTTAATAATTTTTTGGATTGATTTAATCTCAATAATTTAATATTAACTTATATGTTCTCAATTATTCAAATTTTGAATATTCAAAAACTAATATTTTAATAATTTTACTGTAAAGATAAACATTTTTAAAAAACCTTGATAAATAAAAATTTTAAAGATTAAAATCTCAAATAAAAAATGTATTGGTTTATAGATTAAGGATAATAATCAAAATGCTAAATATTTTAAATATCACACCTATAAAATATAAGCTATACAAATTTAATTTTTTAAGTAAAACTGTATATGCTAATTGCTTTTATTTGACGTTGAATAAGAATCTGCCCATAGTCATGAGGCAAATTCTAATTTAATTCAATAGTAACAGTTATATATTTAGCTTCCCTTAGATAATAATGACACAATGTATAAGGGAAAAATTTGTAACGGAAGAAAGTTTATCATTTAATTTAAGCTCGAATAAACTTTTAATCTCTTAAAAATGTATTTTTTTTATTTGTTCTCTTATTTTTTATTTTTTTTTACTAGTCTATAAAAATTCATTTTCATTATTATATAGTCTCTTTGTTACTGAAATATTAATTTTTTTTTATCTTTGTATGTGACATTTAATCATGAAATATAATATAGAATTTTGTGGACAATAATATATCATTTATATCTTTGTATTTTATATTACTAAATTTTAAAATACAAAGGATACATGCATTAATAAAACATCTTGTCTGTATCATGTCAGATAAGTTATATGAACGAACTCAATATTATATAACTAAATAAGAGAGCAAGATAACAAATCACTAATAGAGAAATTAAATAAAAATAAAAAATAATTATTAAAAGTTTAAAATAAAAATAAAACAAAAATTAATGACATTTTTAAAAAATGATTAATCATGAAAATATAGTCAGTATATTGTGATCATCTTTTGCATCTAGAAACGTTTTCACTTTTTTCTTCTTTAATTTCAGTCCCAGTTTGGAAGCCATTCAGTTAAACAAGAAGAGAGTGGTCTTTATCTTTGTCCCCAGAGAGATCCAATTTGATCCATTCGGCACGCCTCGTGAAAAGGAAGAGAGTTCCAGCTTGACAGAGCAGCACACAAATCAGCCCAATCCATAAACCCTATGTCATAATAGCAAATTCAAGAGAAACATATCAATAAAGCTAACTAATCCAAAGAGTTTCTCAGAATCAAATCGAGATTATTATTCTTCTAGATATCAGAACAAACATAACAAGCCAGTGCATTGAATGTTTTATTTACCTTATACTGCAAATTGGTCTTAAATGCTAGGAGACAAGATATAGGTAAACCAATAAGATAAAAAGTTGCAAGGTTAACACAAGCAGCCAAGTGCTGCCAACCACATCCTCTCACCACCCCTGCAGTATTGAAAACAATTTTCCCCCTTAGAATTTTAAGCTAGTGTTCAAGATATAAAGAGAGAATCCAGTCATGTGACATGATAAGTTATGTGTAAGTTTTGTATTTAATTTTTATAGTTATTTCTTCTATAAAAAATAAATTATTAATCTAATCAAAATTAACAAAAAAAAAGTAATTATATGAATTTATAGTTAATTTCAAAAATATTCATAATAATAAATAGTTCAAATTGACGGCTCATATATCAAGGGAATATTACAGATATAGATAATGGATAGATGCTTTGTTAATATAAATCTTACAATAAATAAGGATATAAATTTTTTTTATCAATTAATACAGATAAAAATATTTTTTTATTTTTTTTATAATTTTAAAAAAAATACTGGTAGTTTTGTTTCTTATGAACAGAACTAGAGGGAGAGTATTTTTTATAGAATCTTCCTCATTTAATTTCCATCAAAAAGAGATAATACAAAACTTAGGCATGATTTTGTCGTGTGAAGTTTCAACAAGAGAGGATTCATTCAACAAGAGAATTAACGAGGAATTCAAACTTGACAAGACACCTTGAACATCTAGTAGTATGGAAATGGCAAGCAATTGTGTCACTGAAGCAAACTCTTCTTTAATTGTAGAACTATCACTGAAGAGTTGGATCCAGATATTATGACCAAACCTAAGTATTAGAAAAGCAGCCCAACACAAATGAAACTAATAGCAAGGATGAATGGCCACCTTGAAGCCCAATATGTGTTGCATACCTCAAGGTCTTATCTGATGAATTTTTAATATATTTCTTTTCTTATTTTTGTACAGCTCATGTCTTCTAGAAAGAATTGGTTATGCTGAGTCATTATGTTATTTCTGTCATATATTTTTAGAGCTTGTTACAGGATAGCAATATTCACCTTTCTGTTAGAATTTTTGTAGATTTCTTAAGATTTGCTGAGCTGTAAAATAGTGCTAGCCTTTTATATATACACACATTGTACAATGCAAAACATCAATCAATACTCTCAATTTATACTGTTATTACAAGTTCTTTTATGGTATCAGAGTCTATTGGCTCTCCTCCAACCAATTACGGGTTCAGGTCCAGTTAATGTCCGTCAGCCTAGTCTTGCCAATGTCACTCAAGCTATTGAGCCATATAACACCATTTCTGGTGACCCAATGTCAGGTAACCATTTTGCTTTCTACTTGACCCAAAGTAAGCATGCGTCTTTATCCCAACAAAATCACCACACAGCACACACAACGTCTTCCATTGCACGCAGTAGCTCTTGGATATTAGATTCTGGGGCAACTGATCATATCACTTCATCTTTTAATCAATTTGAATATTATTCTCAAATTAATCCGATCATTATTAAACTTCCAAATGGGTCATCAGTCATGTCTAAATTTTCAGGTACAATTAAACTTTCTTCTTCTCTCACTCTTTATAATTTTCTTTATGTTCCTAATTTCAGTTTTAATTTAATTTCTATTTCTAAATTAATTTCTTCTCTTTCTTGTAAACTAATCTTTTATGATAATCTCTGTGAAATTCAGGATTTGAGCTCATTGAAGATGATTGGTTTGGCTAAATTAGAAGAGGGTCTTTACCATTTAGTGATTGACAAAAATGAATGGTGTTCACTTCCTCCAAATTCTCTTGTTAATTCCTTTATAGCCACCCCTGTCACCATGACCAATATTTGGCATTTCCGTTTAGGACATTTGTCTGGAAAACGTTTGAATATATTAAATCAAGATTTCTCTTTCATCTCTAAACACACCATGGAAACGTGTGATGTTTGCCATTTGGCCAAACAAAAGAAATTATCTTATTCTATAAGTATGAGCAAAGCATCCAAAATTTTTGAGTTACTACATTTGGACATTTGGGGTCCCTTTTCAAAAATTTCTATACATGGTCATAAATATTTTCTAACTATTCTTGATGACTATAGTCGTTACACTTGGGTTATATTACTAAAAACCAAAGCTGAAGTCCAAAACAGTGTTCAAAATTTTGTCAATCTTGCTGAAAATCAATTTGATACAAGAGTTAAAATCATTCGATCTGATAATGGTCCTGAATTTTTTATGACAAGTTTTTATGCATCTAAAGGAATTTTACATCAACGAAGTTGCGAGGAAACACCCCAACAAAATGGGAGAGTAGAAAGAAAGCATCAACACATATTAAACGTAGCTAGAGCTTTAATGTTTCAATCTAATATTCCAAGTAATTTTTGGTCTTATGCCATAAGTCATGCTGTTTATTTAATAAATAGAGTTCCATCTCCCATTATAAATAATAAATCTCCTTTTCAACTTTTGTTTAACAAACCACCAAATTTTGCAATACTCAAGGTTTTTGGATGTTTATGTTATGCATCATCTTCCATTACTCATAGAAATAAGTTTGATCCACGCTCACGACGTGGTGTGTTTTTGGGTTTCCAAACTGGGGTAAAAGGAACTATAATATTGAATCTTAATAACAAAGAAATTTTTACATCTAGAAATATCCTATTTGATGAAATGCAATTTTCCTTTCATAAACAAAAGCAGCCCATTACCTCTCCCTTTTCTCGGCCTATTGGACCGCCAACACATCTTCAGCCCATTTCTCATGAGTCAACCAATTACCTTGGCCAGCAGGATACATTGCCCACCCCAAACTCCTCAGCCCAACCATTTAGCCCATCTATACACCCTCCCTGTGCTACTCCACTGACGTTCTCACCTCACTCTACCCCTACTCTCAAATCCCTAACTGTACCCCATTCACCCAAACCTCGTCGCTCAACCCGTATTTCTCATCCTCCACCCAAACTTGCTGATTATTATTGTAACACCTCTTCTAATTTGTCAT